AAAAATGCGTCTCGATAATTATTTTAAGAACAGTTTTTCAACATATCCGTGTTGATAAATAATCCATATCCCAACAGTTTTTAGTTGAATTTTGATCTTAAATTTTTACTGTATAATGTTTGATCTAAAAGTGTTGGATTACATACATTAACAAAAAAGGTGGTTATGTTGAAATAATAAATATCTGTTATATAAAATAAATGCTTTTCTCATCATTAGCCTGCAGATTTATTGAATAACTTATGTATTTATGTTCATAAAACTTATTGATAATTAAGTATTCAACTAATAGTTAACTAATAGTTACCCATAAATTCAACTATTTGTCTGAAATATTTTATCACTTTAGAAACAAGTATGTTCTACATCATTATGAGTTGATGTAGCAACATTCTACAATATAAAATATTTTTACAGTCAAAACTTTTTTTGCAAAATGGCTATATTAAAGAATAAGTAAGAGAAGGATAAGATGATGCATAGTCCATCACAATTTACAGCCTTTTTACAACTCTTTAAACAATAACTTAAAACTAAATCAATAGACTTTTTCACTTAGTAAATATTTTTGCTTATCCTAAAAACAATCTCAAATAACAAGCAGAAAACATGGATAGCTCATGCAAAAAATTCAGTTCATACTGATATATACAAAATTTTATTATGCAAGTTAATGCTTTCATAATAAAATTGGTATTAAAAAAAAAAAAAAAAATCAATGTTACTAAAATTTTCATATTTATAAGATTTATACTGGGTGAGTTTTATTAAAAATATAGACAATAATTTATTTCAGATTTTATTATGAAAAGTGCAACCAAAAAGGTTTTATTTGTAAATAAATCTAAACAAAGTAAAAGAAAGATATGATTAGCACAATATCCCATATATAAAACCACTTCATTAGTCAGTCAATCCCAGTGCTAGCAAAAACATAGTATTCTTAGTGATGTCACTTAGCAATGTTATTGATCTTCATGGTCATCACATGTAGACATCAGCATGCTGGGAGGTAACCAGGTTTTACATTGATTTTGCCCAGTAGGTGTTGTGATTCCCGCCAAGAATTCAGGTGTGACTATCAACGAGCCATGGTAATGTCTTTGTCTCTGTTGAAAACCAATTTCACAGAACAAACCAACAAACTCTGTTGATAACTAACAACAGGGTTAATGAAAATAAATAATAGAATTTAAAAGAATATAAGGAATTATTAATCATTCTATGTAGCCTGGTCAACAACTTTTTATCAGGAATGTTTTTTTAGCAGTTTTCATAGATATAAAGGACTTTAAGTCTTGCCCTGTATTCTTGTTCATTTGGACTTGTATCTGTGTGGTCATTATAGGTAGAAACAGGAATATTGAGATGGGTATGGATTATGAATGTACTTTTTCTTTGTCTGTTGTCTTCTTCATGTCCTGCCATTCTGTCTGTTCTCATTTATATAAGGAAATTTGCACATCCCTGACATTGATTTGTAGTATATTTTTCAATAAGATATCTATATAACTTTCATTGTTCAGTAACACATGGCCCTTTTTAGAATGCAGTCAGGCTGATCTCCAAACTTGAAATTTGTTAACAAAATGAACATTCCAAAGCGGTATTATTTTGAATAAAGAATTCTTCTTTGTCATATTACCCCAGAAGCAACTAAGTGGGTTAGGGAAAATCTAGTCATACTAAATATTAATGAACTCTACTTCATCAATTTCAGGTTCCAATCTTTGTGGAGTCTTATCTGAACTCAGTTTATGGCTTCTAATTATTATTTTTAATCTACTCTTTCTTTCCTTAGTCTCCTTGAGCTTTATCATAGTTTAACCATAATTATTTCCTATTCCAAATTATCATTAGGCATTTTCATGCAATGAAATGTTGAATGAGGGTTTCTACACTGTTATATCCCTTCATGCACTAAAACATTGAACCAGAGTTGCCACCCAGTTATACATATATTTGAATAAATTATTATAATTTTACGTATTAATATGAGCTCTTTGACATTTGATAATCTTTATCAGTCTCTGATCCATTGATTTTGTTAACTTTCTATTGCTTTGAATTTAACATTACTTGCAACAGTTTTTATTGCTTCCCAGGGGTATTTGCTTGCATATTGTTTTCCATTCTCATATCAGTCTCTTTTAATGAGGGATCATGTCTTCTGTTAATATCTGGATGGGCTGGGACCATTAATTTCATTAATCTGGTGTCTTTAAAACCTTTTTTGCCAAAATGGATAATAATCAGCTTTTCAGAATGTGAAGAAACATTGTCTTGCATGAATATATGCTTTAGTTGTGACTAGTACCACTAAAAAATGTCTTGTACCTACAATAATTCTCTATATTTATCTTGATACTATCCTCAACTTTGAAGGGACCTATAGTATAATAATTCCCAAACAGTATTCTTACCCTCCTGTTATCTTCTAAGTTATATTGGTTATTTCCATGATGGACTCAATCTTTAGTAATTAATGAATACATTGAATTGCACAATAAAATTTGATGTACCACATATCTTCCTTTTCAACTTGTTATGGTTAATAAGTCTCACCAAACAAAATTGACTTTGAATTCATTATCCTAAACACATGGTTATTATCCAAAATTGCACATAACATGAGACCTTGACAAAATAGGCCAGTATATTTCAGTATCTACAAGATTATAATGGTTAAGATATTATTTAAAAGTGTATTTATGTCAAGCTAAAAGATTTGATTTCAACATTTAGAGATTTTAATCTAACTTTATTTGAAGAAAACATCCTCTTATCATAATAAAGAGTTAATTTTACTTTTAAATCATAAGCTTATTTTTATTTTTCTGTTATTTCTATTTGCCTTTATATGAAGTGATTCATAATTGGCGAAATATGCCAATTGGCTGGAGAAGGCGTTTCCCTAATGCTGTTGCCGTCAGACACTTCTTCCTTGACTCATCAAATCTGGTAGGGAAGAAAGGTGACGGTGAGTGAAAAATGGTAAAATGCAACCATCTAACTTTAGATCAGCTTATACCTAACACAAACTGACCATTTGACTTTATTGTGCATTGTACATTTTCTCTAATTACTTGAATCTGGGTAGCTGTGACGAGGTGCATGTTCACTGTTTATCATTTTAAATTTTTGTATGTGAGCAGCAAATAACCAATCAAAAATTTATTCATATTTTATTTCTTCTTTTAAAGATACCAATTGATCCAAGGAAAGAAATATGAAATATATTATTTTTAAGTTAAAAGAATTTACAGCTGAAATTGTTTGTAATAATATTTAAGAGAATTCTGTTTCAGCTCTACAGCAAAGAAAAAAATGTGCAAGATTTTTTTCTATTTTTTAGACTTGAAATGCTTGATAATAAACACAAAATGTTTTTATTTCTAATATACAGAAAAATTGGATTCATTAATTTCAAGATAAATTATTATTTGAGACATGCTTGTACTACTCACACAGCAATTAGATGTTATCAGACATTATTCATAAACTGATGAGTTTTATATTCTGTAATTACTCTATTAATTGAAATGCATGAGTGCACTTTTTATCAAAGATGCTTGGGCTGATTTTAACAAACCATTCTGTAAGATATAGTCATTCTCATAATTTTTGAGTAAGTTTCATCACTAAGTTTTAAAATATATTCACATTTCTTCAAACATTTTTTTTTTTAAATCAAATAATCAATGAAGTCAGTAAATAATTATAACTAACACTATCATAAAATATGACAATGAGTTCATACATAAATGACAAAGATATTAATATATTAAACACAGAATCTTCCATCAAAATGTGATTTTTTTTTTTTTTTGTAATAAAGGATTTAATCAAATGATAAAATCCAACCAGCAAAAACACTAGTTTTGAAAGGTATGTGTTTGAAAAAAAGAAATACATACAAAAGTGTTGTATTTTTTTCAACATAAATTCCACTTATATCTCGACAATTGTAAGCTAGACTTTACTGTGCTTAACAAATTCCTATGACTGGTACAAATGGAAAGTTGATTCTTGTCAAACCTTTCTCAGATATTTCCACTGGTTACATTTTTTTTGTTGTTGTACAAATAATCATGACAACTGACATATCATAAAGTAAGAATTAGAATTATCATTTCAATTCTTCACAAAGTGAAAAGCTACTTAAGAAGCTTTTATCAAGACCATTTCATAGAGAACACATCCACATCACTGATTCATCAATTGACATCCAGTATAACAATCTGGTATGTATTCTTTTTCTTTCTTTTTTTTGTACTGCTTAATACATATGAAAGCTTGCACACATACAAATTCCAAATAAAATATACTTAAAATACTTATAAAGATTTCAGTTTCATTAAAATCATTTTGGAACATATATGTAAGTATATATTTACATAAATAACTCATGTTCAGAAATAAAATAGTGAATTTTTTTAATTGTTTCTTACTAATTATGTGCTTGGATCTGTCATGTTATCAGTCATACTTGATTGAAAATTCTTAAAAGCATGATTTAAACAATTTAATAGTGCATGATACTGAAATGCATTTTATAAATTGTTTCTCAATAAAAGAATGAGAATGCAACTATCATACTAATACATTACTGCACATTGGATGCTATATATATATATATATATATATATATACACACACACACAAACACACATATTTCTTGCAAATCTTCCTTTTATATTAAGATGATTTACTGTAGTTTGTTAAAAGACAAGTTTAATAGAATTAAAAAAAATATTTGTTTAAAATAAATTCAAATTAATTTTTCCTTTTAAAATGTCCCAAGTATTTTATCAACCCATGAACTGACATATTGTTGATTTTTCTTTTCTTTTTTTTTCAGATAGAAGAGGTGAGTAAAGGAGTAATCACTTTATAACTTTTTGGGGAAACCAAGAATATGACAACTTCAATACTTCTGCAGACAAGACATCATGGAAGACTTTTTAAGTTTTAATCATAGTTTAAGTTATCTTTTGCAGATATTAATGAATGCTTACATGGATTTGGATGTGAATATGATTGTTTAAACACAAATGGCAGTGCTCAATGTATTTGCCCAGAAGGTTATATATTAGAAGCTAACCAGAAAAACTGCACAGGTAAGATGTTTTTACATGCACACATATATAAGAATTTGAAATATTAATTACAAATAGAAATTAATAGTAATTAATCTTTGATGACAAATTTTATTTTGGTGATCCACATAATACAGAAGTCGTTTAAACAGGATATGCAAGGCAACAGAGTAATGTAAGAAAAAGACAGATGATACCTGTAAACAATACAATGCAAAATACTTCACCTTGCCTTTGACACCAAACCTTTAAATGTAAACTAAAACTGATGAGTGAGTAGCTATGGTTAAATGTAAGATAAATAACAGAACTGTCCAACAAGCAGAAATGACAAAGTTTGAAATAAAAAGAAAAAGGAACAGAGTATAAATAAAAAAAATATCAAGTAAGCAAAAAATACATGCAAGGCAAATTAACAGGAAGAGGGCAAAAAGTTCACAAACTAAGAATTGGTGTTGACAAAAAAAGTAAGGTCAGATAAGAGAACACAGTGGCATGTCTTCTAAACAAGGCAGATCTGGAGTGAATCATGTCAAACAGCAAGCCATCCTATTTTATAGGCTAAAAAAAATATCCTAACATCCATTTGTGGACATCTGCTTATAAAAGAGGAGGGGAAAAGATTTGCAGTCATTCCCTATTCAAGATTGAAATCAACACCTTTTCTTAAAGCAAAATACAAAGAGGATATACATTTATTTAAACAATTTAGTTCAATTAAAGAACAAATTATAAACATGATTTGAAATGTGAAGAAGTCACAATGTGGGAAAAATTACAACATTCTTCGTAGTATTTATATAGCAAGCTAATTAAAAAATAATTTATTGACAAAATATCCCATCAAATTTATGAGTTTTGAGGTCAGAAATTCCATTACATTGACTTGCCAAGTATTATTCTTTTATTTCCTCATAAAATCAAATATAAATTCATACAATAATTGTTGCAGTAACAACAGTAATACTGCCAACAAAGCACACTCATGAAATGATAACCCTGAGTCCAGGTATGGTTTCAGCATCACTGTATCATTACTACTAACCCAGGATATCCCAGCTGTACCTTGCAATATCATTTAATCTTATACATATGGGGAATATAGTACAATTTTATGTTTACATTTAAATGAATTAAATTTATGAAAAAATAGAATAAAGCATATGAATACATATTATTAAGTTGTAGATCCCAGGTGGGCCCAAAGTTTGTTCTGTTTTTATTATTAGGAGTTTTTAACTAATCTCATTCAAAAAGATCACTTTTGATTCCTGTCATATCAACATGCATTTTCTTAATAGAATTATCTCAGTATGAAAGTTTCAACTCCTTAGAAGACTGCAAAATGTACCAAGAACAGTTCCTTGTTAAGAAAAATAAAAGTTGACAAATGGAATTATGAATTTGCCTGAAAGATGACAGAAGATACTGGAAGAAAATAGTAAATATGTTATTCAGTAACATCAAAAATAAATTATTTTTACTCCAAACAAGCAAATTCTTTGATCAGTCCACTAACTTAACTATATACTTGATTTTTCACCATATGTAATACAATGAAAATAATGGTTAATTTCTTTTTCATTTTTTACTTTTGCAAGTTATATTGTTTAAAGTCATCAAATTTTATTATAGGATCAGCATCTTTATGTATGAATTATCTAAAGTAATTTTTATTTCATATTTTTATTAACAGAGATTTTTAAGAAATATAAAAAACTGATTTTCTTTTTCAGCTTTCCTTAAAAGAAATAAAACAACTTAGTGTTATTCAGTGGGCCAACAGGAATTTATTAAAATATTTAGAAATGTTACCTTTTGTAACTAAAACAAATACTATATTGCAGTTTTCATCCAAACATCTTAATTAAACAATGTTCATATGTTTATAAAAAATAATTTCAAAATATACCAGAGAAGTTTAAAAAAGATATAGAGATATTAAATATATTAAATAAGACAAATATTAAATATATCAGTTGCCTACTTTTATTCATTATTGTTAGCTTCAGGCTATTATAAAAATTAAAATCAATATAAATTTGTAGACACTGGCATCCTATATTAAACAAATAAGAAACAAAATGACTAAAACACAGTTTTAAGATCACAACTCTAAAAGATATGTTCACAAGTTTGTACACTAAGCTGATTAGCAGTAAAGTATGTAACTATTTTAGTTATAATGTTTGCAGTAGAATAACATCATTGATGGTCAAGTTACATCTGAAACAGAAACAAATAAAAATGTCATACACTTGTTAATTTTCTCCAACAAAATTAATGTCTGTCTTTTTGATTTGCTTTTGAGAGTGGAAAATAATGAGATTATTTTTTTTTAAATAGTAGTTACTGAAGATCTGTCAGAGAAAATTTATTCTGTAGTCTCTCAAAGTACACTCATCAGCATAGTTTAGTCAAAACTAAAGTAATGTGCAATGTTGAAATTTATGTCTTGAAATAGCCATTTATATTTTGTACAATTTACTCCTAATATTTAATTTACCAATTTAACGAAATTTCTAATCCATCAACAATTTCATGGAAAAAATCTAATTGTTGTGAAATAATTAATTTCTCTAAAATTACTCAAGTAATTTGTTTTCCAAATTTACAATATTGTGTTGTATCAAGTAAAATCAATGTCATATGTAATAAATGGATAAAATAGGTGAATTTTGCATTATTTGAGTTTGGTAGTGATCTGATAAGTTTCTTTTTTATCTACCATGACCTGTCATGAGATGGCTATCATGGCTCTCCACAACTTTCTATCCTTTGTAGCTCTTAGCAAGGTTTGTCTTTTTATTATTTCTCCCAATCCCTGTTTTTCTATCTATTTACACAAGCTTGTTAGGTAGGTTACTCGTGCCTTTAATATGTCCTGTGAGTGTCAGATTCTCCAAGCCCTCTTTCCTCATTATACCCTAGAAATTTCAAATCTCTCTTTCTGATTCTAAGTGTAAGCATCTTTTGTTTTTATTTTCCCTAAAACTTCCTTGTAATTCATATGTTTAGTCTATGTTATTCTCAGCATCCTCTCGAAGAACAACATTTCTGTTGCCTCGTTTCTTCTCCATTTGTGAGGAGACTATCCAACATTCACTGCTATATAGGAGGGATGATGTTTAGTAATCTTTTCTTTTTTCTAATGAAATTTTCCTGTTTCTTAATACTTCATTGATCTTTTGGAAGGCATTTTTCACAATTCCAATGCACCTTTAAATTTCAGACTCACATTTTCTGTCATGTGTTAGAATACCGCCCAGATATTTAAATTTTATTACTTACTTGATTTCAGAACCTCCAATTTACAGCCTACATCTTGGGCTGTTCCCCTTGCTGACAACCATACATTCTATCTTCTTACAATTGAGGCTTTGTTCTTTCCTCTCTCTTTCTTTTACTACCTTTTGTAGGAATTCCTGCAGTTTCCTTTTTATGTCTGCTATCAACATTGTGGTCTCATCTGCATATCTTATATAATTAAGATTGTGTCCACCAATAATAAATCCTTGTAGGACTTCCAAATCTATCAGGATCACATTACTGTAATGGTTGAATATGTGAAGATACATTCTTGTCTTATACCAGTTTCTACTTTTGTCCATTCTGAATTCATTTTCTGTGTGAAAGTGGTTTGCTCTCAGTATAATTTCTGGATTATTTTAATATCTTATCCAAATAGATCAAGCTTACCTAGCAGATCAAACAATTGTTTGTGTTGAAACATATCAAAAGCATAAGTATACATCCTTCTGCATTTGTATTGCTATTTCTGATATCATAAATATCACATTCTCTGTTCTAGCATTTTTAAATACTAAAATGAACTAAATAGCAATTATCAGTAGGAAGTGATCTCTTTTGAAAGTAAAAGTTCCTAATGTTATCCATCTAATGACAAAAAAAGAACAGATTTTTGCCTCCTAAGCAGTAGTTAATACAACTTTGTTGAAAGATAATTTCAATACTTATTCAGAGTCAACTCATTAAGCATATAGTTAATATCTTACTCCCAATACTTTCTCAAACATTATTCTAGCAGACAGCTCAACAGTTTGTTTTTTAAAACCAAATGTTTCTATTTCATTTTAGGCCAGCTAATTATATGGTTATATGGAACATATGCGTTTATTGTTATTTTAAAAGATAACTACATTATTGATGTATCCTTTGAAAATAAGGGTTTATATTTTTCTTCCATTCATATATCTGCATAATTGGTAAGCTTGTCTTTTATTTTATTTCTTGAATCAATTTGAATATTGCATAAAACATTTTTAATATTTCATTTCAGACATAGATGAATGCCAGCAGACAGACAATTTATGTGATGACAAATGTGTGAATACAGAAGGCTCTTATAAATGCATATGCGGTTCTCCTGGTTTAAAATTATCATATGACAAACAGTCATGTATTGGTAAGTAGAAATAAAAATAAAGCAGAAAGTAAATTTTTATATATTTAAAAGTAAATATTTACTTAAAAGAATTACATGAATACTGATGTTTATTTTATAATAAAGTCTCTTTATCAATATAATGCATTCTTTAAAAAAAATCCCAAGATTTATTTTACTCTATACCAAATGTTGTAGAGATTTGTGCATTAAATTTAGCTGAAAATATAAAATGTATTTAGGAAAGAAGATTTTATCCTTAATCCTCAACCATATCACATAATTTGGAAGGGGAAAGATTTCAGTCATCCTTCACTAAATTCTTGCTTTCAGGTACAATTATTAATCACATAATATTGCCTCTTAGTCTGTGTGAGAGAGATGGTAGATTAATAAGTCCATAGCCTCACACATTTACTAGTTGAATTTTGATCTGAAATTTTCTGTACAGAAGAAAATGATGACTTACAATGTTGGCCAAAATGCTCCTATGTTCCATGCTGTTTTTGCTTAAGAAAAAAAAAGCCTCTCCATTTCTGATGTGCATATGTTCCTGCAGGCAATGGTGTAATTGAGAGATGCCATTGGCACATTAGAAGAATTGCCACCAGGAAGCAATGCCCAATAATAGAGGCAGATGACTGGAATAATGTCACACCAAAACATCCGTTACTGTGCCTGCTAACATGATCTACTGTTACCAAATCAGTTCTAAAAGGAATTGATGCAATGCTTCCACTGAAACATCAAAAAGAACACATGCAGTAGAAGGCAGAAGTATGTGTATGTGTATGAGAAAAACCTGCACAACCAATGTACCTTGAGAGATCAGATAGGGCATGTCACTAGTATCAATAACCCAAATATAATTTTGATTGCTGCTATACCACACCACCTGAAAGATCTTTCCCTGATTATGGGCTCCATCACATCAGAGAGTGATATTGGCAGTAAATAGACTAAATCTTCTGAAAGTGCAAGGGTGTCTGGATTTAGGGCAACAATGGCTCTTCAGATGGCGACAACTCAGAACCTCAGCCAGATGCACATGATTTCTCAAAAGAAAAGGTGATTGTCCCCACTCCTACGATGAAGTACCAAAATTAAAACCCCTGCACCAAGTTGTCATATCTACGATCATGATCATGAGCAGGGAGAAGTGTACAGAAGAAAATGGCTACATAGCTTGTTGGTCAAAAATGCTCCTGTGTTACATGTTGTTTTTATAAAAAAAAAGTGGGGGGTCTCTCTACTGGTATTGTAAGTCAGTGAACACTTCACTCCCAGACAATCATGTGTTGTGAGTTGAGTAGACTGCTTTAAAAACTTGAATTTTTCTTTCTTTAGGTGGTTGTGAGTGAGTAGAGCAAACTTATGGCTTTTTGAGATTGATTGATTTGTTTTTTACAGCTTATCAACCCTTTGTGTGTTATTTAAAGTCAAAACATATTCAAGATTGTATGAATAATTCTTTTTTTTGTGAGTGAATATTTCATTAACAATATTTTAGAGATAACAATTTTTCCAAATACATGTTTTACTATTTAACCCATACCTAAGGAAAGGAGATAGATTCATAACTTTTCAAAGCTGACTTGAATTCAAACTTGGCTCTCCAATCTCTCATTCTCTGACACTATCCATTACACCAACCACATGATGTTTGGAGAACTTCTATTTGTCCTTTTACATTTTCACTGTATAATGTTTGATCTATGTGATTAATAGAGAGCTGTTAAGTTCAGTGCATTTAAAAGGAAGGAGATTATGCTGAAAACTATGTAAAAGAGGTGCTTTTTTTCATCATTAGTCTCTAGACCTATTAATGTATCCACATATAATAAAAGAATTATTACAGTTTTATATTTCTACTTGTCTATTATAGTAACAATTTTTATTATCAAAGGGACCAAAGGTCAAGTATAAGGATGACATAAAAGTAAATAAAATGAAAAATTAAAGCTGAAAAGAAAAATGTTTTTAAAAAATCAGTTGACATTAAATACAAGGGTTGCTATGAAAGTAATGCCTCCTATTTTGTTATAACATCAAGGGCAGATGTTGGTAGCATACAGTAAAGGTTGAACCCACAATTTCTTTTTACTTTGTTATGGAGAACAGATAAGCAGCATACTGGCAAAATAACATCTGACATGAAAGTGTATATAACAAAAGTTTATCTTTGAATTCCTCCAAATGGAAAAAATTGAATCCACTGACATACAATAATGTCTGTTGAAGGTTTACCAAATATTGAATGTGAACATGTGAATTTTCCATCAAAGAAAAAGGTCAAGATGCAGCCATCAGCATGCAAAGTGATATGTACTGTCTTTTGGGTTAGGAAAGGCATGAAACTACTGAATTTAGTGCTTTTCAACTTTCATCTATTCAGGCGAATGAAAGATGGACTATGCAGGCATTTTTTTCTGATAATGATGCTGTTATCCATTTCTGATGAAAATGTATATGCAAGTCGGTGCCCATGTAGTAAAATAGTATTTCATAGTAGAAAACTGACTCTATTCAACAACATTATTACTTTTCCAGTATCTGTTATAGTTTCTATGGAAATAAATAGAATGCATTACTTTTTTAGTAACCCTTATACATGTAAATATAATCTGGAGTGATAAAAATATGATTATATTTCACAATTTTATTTAATATTTAAGTCAATAATTCTTTACATTAAAACATATGCAATTATTTCACTATTATGATATTTGGATAAAGCTATAAGTAGTGATTGCTGAAAAATGTGGGATGTGGATATTCAAGCTTAAAATCAGTTTTTTCTCCTTTTTTTAAAATTTGTACAAAATCATAAAATGCAGGAAATAATAAAAAAAGATGATACCTGAGAGTTCAGTGATCATAATAAATAAATATAAGATTTAATAAAGAATGCACATAGAAAAGTTATAGTATTGATATTCAATAGTTTAGAAAAAAACTTAGCAGAAATAGGAAAAAAGAACTTGATAAATATATCAAGTACATGAGCAAATGATTCGCTTGAAATAAATTGTGCTAAATCTTAAAAAAAGTAAATCAAAATGAATTAGTTATATCAATGGCATTGGTTTTTACTTTCTCTTTATGTCCAAATTTGGCTGCTAGAATGATGGCTTTGATGTATAAGATGAAGGTTGAAAAGAAAAATAACCACTAAAAGAAAAGTTTAAATATTCAACAAGATAAACATTTTCCAAATAACAACAAAGAAGAAAAACAAACACTACTCCAAAAGAAAAAACGTAATTTAAATTTTTTTTCTGCAATAACTTAAAATTTATTGAATTTATGTTTACTATAAGAGATAGTTCTTTTTATACACAAATACTCCTCATGATTAAAAAAAATAGAAAGTAATACATATTTTCTAAAGTCTCTTTGGTCCATTGCAGTTCACTATCTTTTATAATATCCATGTCTCTACAATGTACAAATGGGTTTGTGACTAGTTGGTGAAAATATTTTACATTTTATATCTTTATAATCAATATCTGATGTTTTCACAAGCTGAAAAAGCATAACAGATTTTCTTATGAATATTACTTCACTGAGAGAGATTAAATTAAAGGTGGGTTACATTTCCAATACTGCACAGAAGTAATATTATATTATTTGCAACAAGTGAAATACAGTTTCAAGCTAAAAACCTTTCTAAAACAGTATCACAGTAAAATCTAACAAAATCCACATGGTTCAATTTGGCATAAAATCAGAAATAACAAGAGTAAAAGATACTGAAAATGTGCAAAATGGAAAACTATTAAAGTAAATTTGTTCTTAAAATGAGACCAGTTTTGTACAATATCATGTTGCAAGTGAATTTGAAAACAAAAGACTAGAATATGAAAATAGATATAAATAGAAACAAAATTGTGTGCGTGTGTAAAATTGACCTTAGTTAATATGAATCATAGTTTATAAATATGCATCAGAGAAAAAAAATTTAATGTTTCAGATATAAATATTCTTTGTTAATCTCCGAAAATCTTTTTGACAAGGTATTTTTTAAGCTGAATTACAAGTTTCCTATTGCTTGAATTTTACTAAAAGTTGATTTTGCAAACCCAATTTGGAGGACATTTAATAAGATACTGGCTATTTATTTTGATATGTCATTTTTATTTCACTAATTGTGAAACTATCAAAACAAATTAAAATTTTTCTTTTTGTATTCTTTTTAAAACTATAAAGTTCTCAAACCCAGACAATATAAAATTAAATTTTTGATATTTTTAACTTAGTTTCCAGTAAAAAATAAAGTACAATTGAAACATTTTTATTGTACTTTTATGAATTTGAGGAACAGTTATAAAGGTTTAATATTAAATAGCATTACATGAGACTGTTTAATGACTATAAAAGGAACATAACCTTCCTCTTTCTCTCTTTTTTTCCAAGTTGTAGCAGACTTTGTCCCCACTGGGGATAATATCTTTCCCCTGGATGACTAACAACTTTTACACACAAACACACATTTACTATTAGCTAGATTTTAATGTTTTTCCTTTTCTTTTCAACTATATGTGGACACACTTGTATATTTTCTCTTTTGTTCACTATTTATTAATAATAAACACAAGTACCAACAAAATATATATGCACCTTTACATTTTTTTTATTCTAAACTTTGGTTGTTAAGTTTTAATGGTAAATCTTTCACTATACATTTGTCAACAAATATCTTTTTAATTTTTTAATATTGAAATCATTATAAATTTCATATTTTATGAGACTGCTATGGACATTTTACTTTAGTGTAGATTGACTCTTCAAAAGTTACTCTTTCTTACACTAAAAGTTACATTTTGGTGAAATTTATGTGATACAATAACTGTTCTTTTGCCCTTAATCATATACTAAAATATATACTCATATTTCTTATATATAAAAGTTCATTCAGTTCCAATAAATTTTTACAGTCTGCTGTAACATTTAGACTGATTATACTGGATATTTTTAGTAGAGAATTCTTTTTCTTTAAGTTGGCATATTTTTATCTCAAAACATACAATAATTAATAAGGCATCATCATTGAATTGCAATACAAAACAACTAATGCTGAGCTGAAAATGTTTCAAATTGTTTAAAAGCATCACTTTCTTGATCAAAAATATTAGTATACCAATTATATTTATTAGTAATACTGAAAAAAATCAGTTTATATCACTTTCTAAACCTTTATGGAATGAACTAGAATTTAACAGTAAAATAAAAGTTCATTACTATATTTATTTTTTAAAAATCAAATTATTTCATCATCAAGATATCATGTAAGCTTTTTTCATAGCATAAGGAATGAGGATTAGATGGTAGTGCCCACCTCCTCTCCAAGTAACATATAACAGGTTCTAATAGTGTGTGTGATACAGGTTGAATATCACTTATCTAGAATTCATTAGTTGAGCAAACTTAATGATTTGGGGGTAGTCACTTGAATCTAGTGATCATTAGTATGCAACACCAGTGCCCAATATTGTTTACAACTTATTTACACTAGTTGATGCTGCTATACAGGTACAAATATTACTGTATTTGATAGCATATCTTTTTTATTTACCTAAAAAAATATCCAAGACTTATATGTGAAACTGTCATATCAGGTTTACTTAAACACTACATACAAACAATACTTGGAACAAGCCTAACTCAATAATAATGAAATATGAAGTGCAAATATAAAGGGAAGATTTTATATGCCGCCAAATATGGTACACTTTACTGATATTTTTCCCTTAAATAAAAAACCTAAGAGTAATAGAGGCCAATGGTCATAATAAAGTAAAACTTAAACACATGAAAAAGCTGACATTACTGGAAAAACTAGTAAGTAGTATGTCAGGTATACCAATAAAAAGTTTGTATGCAGAATATAGTGTAAGTTCATCTATGTATGATGTTAAAAAAAACAAGAGAAAATATGATGAAAATATTTTTCTAGCACCAAAATTATGAAGTTTATTAAAATACATAAGTTATACAAATATGAAAAGAGCTATTGTGCAGTGGTGATAGCAAATCTGTGATAATGATGGCAGTGCTTTTGGAAAAAAAATGGTCATTTAAAGAGGGAGAAATAATAAAGAGAACAGTGTGCAGGAAGAGGATGATGATGATGATGATGATGATGATGATGATAAACGAAATAAAAGGTTTTTGACTGGCTTAACTGAAGGGCTTGATCAAATAAATTTGATATAAGAACAAGTCATGCATGTGTATATGATAAGAGAAGATCTTATTGAAGAAAAGGCTAAATGCATAAAACAACCAAAACTATTAAGATGTGTTTTGGAGAATTATCAACAAAAATATTCAACAACACCATAGCACTATCCAGATTCCTCTTCTCAGTACCTACACACTTTCAGACATTATAAATGACAGTTAGATGTCCATAAAAATAATCTAGATGCTCCAGATATAGATCTCTATATTACTCAACTCTAATTTATATAAAGAATCCTAAATATATTTTAGAATTGGATTTACAGTAAAAAATAAATAAATGGTTGCCTTTTGTTCCTAATTTTTATGATTTTTTTTTTTTTTTACAATAGGCCTATTTTACATTGCTTTTTCTACTAATCTACTTATTTTTGTCTATCACTTTGTCATGAAGAAGTCAAATAATTCTAAGTTAGGTTTAGGTTATAAATTATGTCAATATCAATAATAGAGTCAGACTAAAACTATAGCACTGCTGCCATATCTGGGTTAGAGCTGTTCAATCTTCAGTTTTCAGCCTTGACAGAGTTTACAATCATTTATGCAGTCTTGGGGAAGACTTATTCTCTACTATGCAGGCTCTTTCCCCAGACAAAACACCACTGCAATATTATTATTTCCATGGTAAATACCTAGATGAGTGCTATTTAATTCCACCAGCACTGTGTTACTTCTACAAAATCAAATCACCCTCATTGCTTTTGTAATCCAAATGTAAGGAAAAAATTCCACTCAGGCAGCTTCTTACTAGGAACTACAACCCTACAATTTTAACCTCTTCAAGTCAATGGACATTTGTTATTTATTTTCCTTATACTCATAATCTTCACTTCCTACCACCTCTTCTTTCATTCGTGTCACACACATAATTCATTATAACAATGTTACAGTAAACTGCTACTTTGAGTGATATTCCAGCCTTGTATTGTGAACTTATATATATATATATATATATATATATACGCACACTCACACACATATACACATGAGGTCTGTCTAAAAATGAAATGGGACTGGTGTACAAACAATTTATTTCAATTCCAAACAACAAAATACATAGTTTCTCCTTCAAAAGAATCCCCTTTTCCATCCTTCTCTGTCACGTTTCTATGCACTGCTGGAAGGATTCTTCTTGGATGCCTCTCAACTCTGTCATTTTGGCCCTCTTGATGGCCACCACGCCTTCAAAATGAGCCCACTTGAGCTTGGGGAAAAGAAAAAAGTCACACAGAAAGATCAGGTGAATAGGAAGGTGGTTCTAGTACGACAAGGTTCTTCTCAACAAGGAACTGCTGGACAGATTGCAGTCCCACAATTATTTTAATATATTTTGTTTATACATTATTTTTATAAATATTATTTACTTTTTTTTATAGATATTATTTATTTAAGTAAATGCCCTGATTATTTTTTTTTTAAATTAAACACTATTAATTACTGGCCCGAATGTTCAAGAAATTTCATAGAAAATACGTGCTTCTCTGACAGGAATTGAACCTTTGCCGATGAATGGTTAACAGCATGTCATATCAAATGATGGTTCCCATTAGGGTTACAGGTTCGATTCCTGTCAGAGAAGTACATATTTTCTATGGAATTTCTCTAACATTTAGGCCAGTGAATGTAATACTGTTTAATTTAAAAAAAAAAAAAAAAGACAGCACATTTACTTAAATGAATTACATCTATAAAAATAATGTATAAATGGAAAATATATATATTAGTTATTTTTTTATCCTAAGCTTCACTGGTTCAGAAAATCTGCCACACTGACTTCTGTTTGCTTGCATGCTTGCTAGATTAGTAAGGTTTAACCTGTATCAGCAACAGAGAATGGTCTCTAACCTGACTTGTTGGGAGAAGTGGCTTCATGCCTTTCTCAAGGGAATCAGTGCAGAAGTGAAAACAAACCAGAACTTGAATTTAGTTTTCCAATGTCATTTTTTTGTTAACAGGCCAATTCTGTACATTCAAAAACTTATAACTGAAGAAGAACAAAATAAAACTTAACATATTTTAGAATGACAGATTTTTAAAACTATGTATAAAATATATTAAATGCATTTCTTTATTTTTTTTTAATTTTTTGATTTAGATATCAATGAATGTGTCGAAGGATTTAATCTTTGTGAAGATCTCTGCTTGAATACAATTGGAAGTTTTTACTGTGAATGTCAAACTGTTGGTTTCAAACTGGCCGAGGATAACGCAAAATGTGAAGGTTTGTTTTCTTTTTTAAATTTACTTTGCCAGTGAAAAGAGAGCCACTATATTTGAATTCAAAATTAAAATATTTTAAAATTTTCAAAACAGCTATTTGAACAAAAGTAGAGAATTTTAGTTGAGAGATTCATGAAATATTTTTCATGTTTTTTGGCAGTGGCTAGCTAGATTGAAAAGAGATTAAAATTATTTTTCAAGATATATTTTTATCAAATAAAAATGATATTTGCATTGAATATTTTTTTATTTTATAAAGAAGCATGTTTAAAATAATTAGTTATTTAATCTTATATATGTGTTCTATGGATATATAACAGACTTTTTTAACAAATACTTCAATAAAATTTTCAAAAATAGAAAATACTATTTTAATATTTTTTCATTTCAAATTGTATGAAGAAAAATTTTGATTTCCTATTTGTGTTTATTTGTAGTTTTCTTGTAGAAAAGACTATTACTATGTATAGATAAGCAGATAAGTGATCAAATAATGGTTAAAGGGATAAAAATTTTAATATTACAAAAATTCCAACTTTTACTTGTCTGTTTTGATCATCATCCTTATCACAGGTTGGATGCATTAGAAGAAAATTTAAAAAATTTAAAGCAAAGTTATTGGAAAACCTATGCCTGAAACAGAGTGCACTTATGCACATTATCAGCCTTAACATCCCACTCACCAACACTGAAAGTAGTGGCAGAAGCAGCAGCAGCAGAAAAATGCCTAGACTTTAATAAAGATCAGAATATGAAGGGAATAAAAGCAGGCAGAAAATATTGTATAAATTCACTTATACTCTTAAATAATTATTTAAAATCAATAATTTCTTAAATTATTTCAAGCCTAGTAATTTTTTATTAAACCTTAAATTAGATCAGTTTCTTTTGAAAACATTGATTTTCAAACTTGTTAGTTTAGATGAAAACTATATAATCAGTAAAATAGGTTTATTCACTTATTCTTAGTTTAAGCAAGAATGAGAAATAATGATCATCATGTGCTGATGTTCAGATCTATATTAAAAATAAAAAATTAAGTATTAAGAGTTGATAGCATCAGAAAGATTTATTTTATAAATGCATATGGAAAAAAGATATATAAATTTTTATATTTTTTTTTAATCATTTCACCCCATAAAAGTATTACAGTGGGTTATAAGAAGTGAAAATGAAAGAGAAGACTAAGAATAGGGAGGATTGAGTACTGAACAGGATTCAAGAAGACAGAAGATGGTGATTGATGCTGCATTTAAATTTTTTAAGATTGTAGTTGTCAGAGAAGGAAGAGAGTTCCACAGGTGATGAAGTGCAAGAAAAGACACTTTTGTAGTAGAAGTGGCAGTTGTATTTAGCTATTTGAACAGTAAAAGGGTGGGACCTAAATGCCTTTCTAGTAGCATGCTTAAATATAAGTAGCATATAATTGGAGCATTAAGGAAAAAAAAAGTTTGTGTATCAGAACAATTTTGGAAAAATCTATGACATAGTGGAAAACGTTTTTCATGTGAAACATTTCATCCTTTAGAATTTCTTGAGACTGGATGAAACATGAAACATGTAACATGAAATATTTTTTCCACTTTATCTTAGATTTTCTTAATAAATGTATATCCATTGGTAAAAGAAGACTAAATATCTTTAACTACTCACGTTTATAAAACTGAATAAACTCTGGATATTGACCAGACATGCTTATACAAAAAATTGCAATAGTAATAACCAATTCAATTGTTACTAATTAAGGCTTTGTGGATAAATTGATCTAAACATTGAGTTTGGCTGTCAAAATCCCACTAGAGACTAATTTATTTACTAATTACATATTTAATATCTGAAAGCAGATATTTATTCTCTTAAGAGTTGGGGTTCTTATAAGAACTGACTACAGAGAAAATGCATCAAGAAAGATTTACCCAACACCAAGATAAATGCTCATTAAATCAAATTCAAATAAGCCATACTTATATAACAGATCTTTACCAAATATTCATTTAAATCAATTCCAAATGCATATATAATCAAATTATTTATTTACCAATTTTATTTTTTAACATTTTTTCTATATATTATGATATAATTGTGCTGTTAAAAAACTCAGAAAACCTTACTTTAAAAACTACCAGCATTAAAAAAAGTATTAAAGAGCAAAAATTGGTTTTTTTGGGTTTATTCAAAATGAAATATTACTAAAAGGACTTCTCATGTATTTTTTTCAACATTCATCTAGTTTCTATAACAGTAAGCCTATAGGATTAAAATCTTCTATATATTTTTTAACCAATAAAATCCCATCAGAAAGTTTGTTTAATAAACAATCATTACTAGGGCAAATACTACCAAAATACTTGGTGGAAATAGTTGTAAACCTACCATGTTTTATTTTTTGACTATTTAGAAAATGACAATAATAACTCCTTTCATCACTCCCGCAAATTCTAGAAAAAGATTTTTGCTAACCAGTGTGAAATTATTTTCTAACTAATGCAAACCTTGTATTAAAAAAGTCCACACCTCTATGTGAAATTAGATTTCAACTCTCCCTTATGGATATAAAAGTAGAAGCCTCTTGCTTCTCAGGGCTCAAAACAATTTCAGGGGTCAGTTTGATCTACACATGCATACACACACAATAGAAAATGACAGCCAGCAGCTACCAACTAAGGCCTTGTCTTCAAACTCACAAACACATTAGGCTGACTGTCATAAATTAAGTCTGTCCATGCATCTCACACTGCCCTACAAACACTTAACTACTTGATAAAACAAACTTCACCTCAATGAAAATTGAACATTTTGTTGTTATATATTTCTGAAAACAATATATAAATGTTATTTCAACTGACATTCTGCTTCTACATTTCCTTCAGAGAATAACATTTATGTTTCATTTAAAAAGATGTGTTGTTGTTGCTAAATGTTTGGAATCCCGACACTCAGATAGCAACAAAAACCTGGTCAGTCGAGATCCCAACAAGCCCATAAAACTTTAAAGACATCTATTTCTATATATATATATATATATATATATATATATATATATATATATATAGGTAAATAAAAAGTACATAAAAAAGAAAAGAAGTTATCGTTTATTTTCATAGTAGCGTTGAACAGATCACAAAACAGAAGTTGATATTATATTTCAAAATTAAAATAAACATATTAAAATGCTTTATGATCAACAAGAAAATAATTATACATGGGTAAATAATTTTTTGAAAGTAAAAGTAAAATTTAACCATGTGTAGATGTCTTTAATCCAGTCTTTACCCATATAAGAAAATCCATATATCATCTTGAACGCATTTGGAAGTCATTGGTCAACTTCCAGATATTTGTAACATTAAGAATGAGTAGATACATTTATTAATATTGGATTATATATTATGAAAATTAATTCCACTCTAACAACACATTGTAAAATATTACAAATGCTAATGCAATCTGTATTTGATTATTAATCATTTAGTGATAAATTATTCTTATCAAATAATGTCAATGTTTTTCAGATATTGATGAATGTGCTTCTGATATTACCAATGGTTGTGACCAAGTTTGTTTCAATGTACCTGGTTCTTATGACTGTGATTGTCATCCTGGATATTGGATGGATGACAATTTTCAATGCTCAGGTATTATTTCTTTATTCAATAACTTTCATCAACTAGATGGTACTTGTTTTCTTTATGCATATCATGTATTTACAGCACTAATTTTTCTTTAAGCTGCATTTTCAAAATCATTACCACCACTACACATTCTAGAATCTATAAAGTCTGAATTTTTTTTATATTAAATTCATCAATTTTAAAAAATTAAAACTTTAAATGAAACAATTATTTTTCCATTTCTAGCACTAAATATCAATAATTTTACAAATATACAATTAGAAATTAACATTAATTTTAAATTGCTCATTTTTTTAATTCTTCCACCATATTAGGTCTAAATCATGCTCAAGAATAAAAATGATTAATTAATTAGAAAATTTTGATGGCAATACATTTACAATGAAATTATGAGTTACTACAAAGAAATTTTATATAATTGTAAATATATAACAAGCTCATATAAAACAAATTAAGTCCAGCAGTTAAAGAATAACTAAAGCTGCCTAATTCAAACAATGGTTAATATTCCAATTATATATCAATAATATTTACAAATCCTGAATATCTTGTGAGAAGGTGCTAAAAATCTTTTAGTCTGATCCACTTCTCCAAATCTAACTAAGTGATTGGTCAGAATTCTTAAATCCCTTTTTAGCATTCCCTTGTATATAGCTTATAATTATATCGTATTAAAATAATACTTTTCTGTCAGAACCAAAACAGCACTGAAACTGAATATTCTTTTAAAGATGCTAGGTATTATAAACAAAAAAGAAATTAGTTCAAATTTGATGCAATACTATAAATAAGGACCTTTTTGTGCGGTAGGGCAGAAATGCAATAAAAATGCTTTTTTATTTCTCTGAGACTTATCAAGGAACTGTTTTTCCTTATTTGAAATCAAATATTAATGTCATTAATTCATACAATAATGGTAAAAGAGAAAGTATGGTACTCTTGATAAAAATATCCTATTTATAGATATGTTTGATCATGTAAATCTCTCTCTCAAAATTATAGAAATATATATAAAAATTATAGAGATATTTTATATTTAAGAAGCAGATTGTTGTGACAAAACGTTTGAGAATATCTCAGGCTAGTAAACTGATTTATATCTTTGTTATTCCTTAACTTTAGAGACAAAGACGAATTTAATCCTAATGATTTTGTCTTCTACATCCCAATAAAACATGATGATTTCAATTAAAAGATTAAACATGAGTAACTTGTCTTTTATTGGATTTAAGAATTTCTTCAAGCAATTACTTTGTAAACTTGATTTTTGACATTTTATATAAAATGTTTTGAAACTTTTATAATCTTTAGATTAAGACACTTTCAGTAAAAAAAAAATTGTGGTTTTAAAAACTATTTTGATTTAAATATAAAGGAATGATTCAGACTGCTATTTTAAGGAAAAATTTCCTTGTTTTTCTTTGTCTAGACAAAAGATCAATTTTTTTCTTTTTTCAAATAAAGAGAAAGGTTCTTTAAAAGTACACTTCTATTTTCAGCATGTCCAATAAACACTTTTCGTACTGCAAAACACCAGCAGTGTGTTCTCTGTCCAACTTTATCTCAAACTAATGGAACTGGGAAAACTTCAATTGAAGATTGCTTTTGCCGTGAAGGTTACGAAGGATACCCAGCAGAAAATATTGCGTGTACAGGTTTGTATATTTTTCCACTATTCTATTTCATGATTATATTTTCAAATTCATCTTAGTAAATTTTTGTATACATGGTTCCCAGGAAATTTAGTTGCATGACTCTAGAATAAAATAATTTATGATTCTTTTTATATTCCTAAATGAGATTTTTAATACTTGAAACAATTTTCATATTTAAAGTCAAACAAACTAGGTATCTGAAATCATAAATGCAGGCTACAAGATAAAAAATATTTTTCATCATTTATGTGCATTTTCAACATCATGCATAAGTAACAATCATGACATTAAATTGTTTACAACTACGAATTATAAAATTCCTTTAAGATTTTACAAAGAGCAACAATAAAGATTTATTGCCAACAACTGGCAAACCCATAATTATTTTATGAGAAATATTGTCTAAAGACAGGGTACTTAATGAGATAAAAAATGTTATGTTTAATTTTATTATTCAAAGCAGTTTTCATTTATGGAAACAATTTTTAATAAATGTATAGCTACACACAGACACACACACACACATATATATATATATATATATATCATTAAATTTTTCCTCCATATGTTAAAAGTAATGAAACAATATTCTGGTCATATAATTGTCTCTTTTTAGGGAATTTTTTTTAACATTAAAATATTATAAAAAATAATTTCAAAACTGAATGTTTTGTTTTGTATTATTAAAATATACAATTCTTTTTTTAACAATGAACTGTCTTTGAGAGATTACTAGATTGGACAAAATATATTTGTACTATTTCATTCTTTCACATTTTTTTAAATGGTTAAGTTCTTTGATTAATTTTTACAAAGCTGTTTATATAATTAAAATAATCTTAGTATCAAATGTGATATATACCATAACAGATATTACTTTAGATAAATAAAAATTATACTTCAAGTCTTTGTTAACATTCTTTTCTTTTGAAAGAGGAAAATAGAAAATGGCTATCTGGTTTATTTCATTATTTTTACTGACTATATAACTAATCATTTTTTTTTTAAAGTTTCCCAATCAAAGTTTTATAAGCTATTCATGAGCATGACCATATTTAAAGTTTGTAAAAATTCAGTACTTGACCCATAAATGAGCTAAGTTTTCTTTTTATGACAATTCACAGCTGTTCATATCAACATTTCATAAGATACACAATATTTTCTTTTTTAACATTTTATTGAATTTTTCACCCTTTAAACATGTCTATTAACTTTTCTGATTTTTGATATCTATCAGACCTATGAGCTTTTTCATTTTAATCATGAAATGAAGTCTTTCATTTATATATATGCAGATGGGCTTGTAATTGTATATAAACACAGAGAGAAATGAATATGCTACTTCTGGCATATTATTAGCCGTCATACTTTTAATACATTATTGTATAACCAAGTATCATTTTCGTCTGCAGTAACAATTTGACAAATTATAAAGAGAGACATTTACATGTTCTTTCCTTCTTGACTATGTTAATGTCTAATTTGTATTTGTTAGTTACAGTCAACTGTAGACTGGTTATTTAATGACTTCAAATAAAAATAAGAACTATAAGAAGGTTAATAAACAAAAAATCATTTTAAGAACAGGTTCATTGTCAATTATTACATATAAGTAAACAAGAAACATGTAATTGAAGCTAAGTGAAATAATACATATCAGGTTTTTTCTATTGTTAAGTAAAAAATCATAGGAGGTTATTCATGTTAGAAACAAAGAAGAGTACTGAACTGTTACATGATACCTGTCCTCCTGTATGACAGCAAATGCTAGACAATCTCCTCAGAGATGAAGGAGGACACTCAAAGCAACAGAAATGTGGTTCTACAGAAGGATGCTGAGAATGGAAACAAAGAGGAAGCTTATACTTAACATCAGGAAGTGGCAGTTGAAATTTCTGGGACATGTAATGAGGAAAGAGGGCTTGGAAAATCTGAGACTCACAGGACGAATAGAGGCAAAGGGACAGGGGAAAGTAATGCATGACATACTTAGTGAGCTTGACTAAATAGATGACAGAACAGGGTCTGGGAGAAATAACAAAAAGACAAAATTTATTAAGAGCTACAAGGGACAATAGGATGTGGAAGGCCATAATTGCCTACGTCCTGAAGGAACATAGCACATAAAAGAATCAGAATATTCTATTGAAATAGATTCAAGGAGAACAATAATATTAACCGACTAAGTTAATACTATTCTAAAAAATTTCTCATTTTCAACTTGATATAATAACTGATTATTATTAAAAAAAATTAAAATATTAAATCACAAAATATAGAACATTCTTTCCAAATTGTCAGCAATGATAGCAATTATTTTTAAGTGACCCATTATTCTGTTATCTTGTCTATTTCTGATATCTGTGAGGAACTTGATGATTGTAAACATATATTCCTTTTCTTTTTTTCAGACATTGATGAATGTGAAAATAACACACTTGGCTGTGTGTATCAATGTCATAATACACAAGGAGAAGCTTATTGTTCATGTCCTGCAGGATTTAAAGTAGCAAAAGATGGAAAAACATGTGCAGGTATAAAATTAGTTTACACTAAATATACTCAGTTTTGTAATAAATGTTTTCAGTAAGTATTGAGCTCAGTTTAAGTTCAAATCTTTCAAAGATAATATAATTTAGGTTGGAACTTAATACCTTTACAAGTGAACATCAATGTAATTGCAAATTTTGGTGGCATACATATATTAAGTGTATTTGTAAATTATTTTTTGTCTATAATATCTGTAACTTTTTGCTGTATTAGAGTTATCACCCTTGCACTAGCAACATCAGATGGCATTTTATTTGTTATGACAATGGCTGACAGTTTGAAGATGTTTTCACTGGGAAGTGAAAAACTGAAAAAGAATATAAACAATTCTTTTATTTGATATATCAATAACATGGTATTTACCTAACATCCTACTTAAAGTGTGTTTTATATTCCAGAATATTAAATAAAGCTTCAATCACTTTAAAAGATCAAAAGAGGTAAAAGAATAATAAAAACAGCAAACCTGTTTATGTCATCCTTCCCTCTCCAATCCTTCCTCCTTTATACTTTCCACCCTCATCTCCCTTGCTTTTCCCAATTATATTGTGTGCAAGTGAACACAAGGGCACCTGATGTCTATATCTATATATTGTGCATGTGAGTAACTTATCACAAAGTACACAGATATTACATTAATTCTAGGTAGAAATGCAACACTTTGATCTTTGGCACAGATACTCTAATCAAGTACTGATCTTTGGTTACATCTTAGTACCCATCAAAAGTAGTAATAAAGGCTAGTATATAGAACATGCCAAATGTACTTGTAAGTATTTTAGTCTATAATGTCTGTAACATTTTACTTCACTAAAATTATATCCCCTGCACTGGCAATACAAAGTGGTAGCCTCTTTGATATGACAATGGTGAACTATTTTCACATGTTTACAAAGATGGCAAATCAAAAGACCAGCAACAAAATAAAACAAAAATTACATCTCACATGTTAAAACCTAATAGTAAGGACAAAATGCTATCATATTTGACAGCATAAGTACACTATCTATTGTAATAAAAAAATTACAATATAAAAATAAATGTGAATGTGAATACTCCTGAACTATGTATTATCTATATATTTGTCAACTTTGACTACATAATCAAGAAAAACTAAACATTTAAAAACAAATTAATGAGATCTTCAATCAGGCTCACAGATGACAAATCTTAAGTTTTGTTTTTCATACTTATCACTGAATTCTTCTTTGTCCTATTTTTTCTCCAGTGAAAGAAGATAAATAGATTCTTGCATATGCAAATTCAGATATACGCTACAAATAAAATAAAAGTTTTCTGGTAATTTTCTGTTAATTAAATGATGGACATAAAATGCAAAATGAGGACAAGTGATTTGATCTTTAATTTTCTGATGTATACTTATAATGTACAAGACTTTTTTACAAAAAACATTATTTCAGAGAAAGGGAACTGACCTTAAACTTTATGTTCTACAAAAAAAAATAAAATAATAAATGGTTGATATATTTTTCATGTTATTTCATAAACTAGTAAACAAAGAATCTTTTGGTATATAGAACAATGTTATTCACACTAAAATGAAGTTGTGATAATGGCATTTTCTTTTCAATTAAATAAGGTATAGTATTTACATATAAATAATATAGTTACTATGAATAATCAGAAAATCAGAGTAAACATATTATTGGATGAACGGGGGTTCATAACTACTGTTCCATTATTTGTAAGTAAGTTTGTTTCTAAACTTTTGTTGTTTTTATGGTTATAATGAAGGTAAACAGATAATTTCTGATTTATACAATAAAATGGCTACATTTTGAAAAGTATACACATATGTTCCTTTTTAATTAAATAATATACTATTAAATTTTAAAAATTAACTAAAAGTATTCTTATAATTATTTTTTTACAATTTATTAACTATTATATATTCAACATAATTGTATTTGATAATATTAATAATCATAAAAAATAAAATCTAAGCATCATAATTGTAAAAAGATCAACTGTACAAAATCAAGTTTTAATAGATATAATTGTTTTTCAAGAAAATTCTTCATTATCATTTTTCAATGAAAATGTATATTTTGATTTACCAAGCTACTTTTTGGTCATGCACTTTTTTTTTGTAATCAAAACATGCTATGTTTCTATTTTCAAAACTTTAATAATCAGAGAAAAATTCTTCTGACAAGCCATGGGAAATCACCAGATTTTAACATATATTTAAAAGGAGAAAATCAATTCTAGATAGGCACTCTTATCATAGTTATGTTTCATACCACTTCCCGAGATAAGACATTTTGCCAGCTAAAACATTCTGAACATCAAACATAAAATGTATTGTCAAAAACTTTCTGGTATGTTTCAAAGCTTCTTATGCTAAAATTAAGATAAATTTACTTAAATCTCCCAAAACCCAAGAGAAAGGGATACAGTGAACAGGAAACAGGTGTCTGGAGATACATTATCTCTAATTTTACATCTCAGAAAATGAGTTTAGGATTTTTTTTTTTTTAAATGCGCTGCATACAAACATATTCATAGAGAGGTACATTAAGATGCCAAACTTTTAGCAATATACATAATCACAAAAGCATTTCATTATTTCTAAATATTCACTATTAAAATACTACATGTAAGAAACATCAAATTTAAAATGTCTATTTTCACTTTTGTATTGTTTATTTGCAGATATAGATGAGTGTGCACTTTACAATGGAAACTGTGCCCAGATTTGTATCAATAATAACGGTTCATATGAATGCCAGTGTAATGAAGAAAGATTCTACCTGGCCAAGGATAAACATTTATGTGAAGGTGAATCCATGTTGTCTATTAGAATATGAATTAGGTGTATATTATGTAATTAGTATTATTCTAATTGAATTAAATCAAAAAATTATACTCCTCTTATCATTGAAAAAAGGGAACACCAATCCTTCACAAAGACAAGATTCTCAACAAAACTTCTGAAATGATCCTCATTTATAAATGTTATAAAAAAGGAGTTTATAAACTACTTCCTTTAAAACTTATGGTGACCATTCAACTCTACTTAAAAACCTGAAAGAACTATAATTCTGCTTCATTCAGAGGCCTTGACCAAGAACACCTACCTGAGAGCCAATATGGATTTTGTAGAGTGGGAAACTATCAATCTGATCTGTTCTCTGACTCTCCCAAAGTCTTTGAAGTTTGGTTAAGTACTGATACACATAGAAGTTTACATTTATAGTGTTGTTTTACAGCTTGATTCAGAGTAAATCATGAAACATCAGTCATTTCTTGTTTAAAACTTTGTGAAACTAAGCAGCATATTTGAACTAACACTGTTTAGCTTCATGTCTTTTGCAATTTTGACGATTTCTGAGGCAACATTAGAATTGACATTAGATGCTAAATGGATGAGAGATTGTTCAATCTTATGAGGCTTTAGTCAAAAAACTATGGTTAAGATAAATATCTGAGATTTCCTATTTCTAATGATTTCCTTTTCTACATTGCTTCAAAACCTGATATGCAATTTGGTATCAAGTGTTTTTCTGATGCAAGCACAAACATTGGTTTAATCATTATCAGAAAAATGAATATATAAGCTAGACCCAGGAAAACACTATGCCAAGCCCATCAAAGTCAGTAGCCACAAGTTCAGTATAATGAGCAAATTCACCTCCCTGAGAGGTACATTGCCTTGAAAAGTTAAAATTGATAATGAAGTCAACACAATAATTGCGAGATCTAACTGACTTCATGCCTATATTCAGAACAAAAGAATTATCAGTATAAAAATCAAGCTGAAAGTGTATAATGCAGTTGTACTTCTCATTGTATTGTATACATGTGAAATATGAGCTTTATACTAACATAAGGCTAAAAAGCTGAATCACTTTCAAACAATATGTTTTTGGAAGATTCTCAACACCCTTATGATCTTGATACAGTCTTATTTAACTTGAATTTCAGATGATTGGTTGCCAAAAAGATTATTACCTAATAAGTTATATCAAGGAAAAATAGCAAGAAGAAACACTTTAATGATATCCTGAAACCATTCTTAAAGGTGGCTTACATCAATCCAAACTTCCTGGGAATAAACTGTAATAGTAAGAGCCAATGTTATGATTCCATTCAAAGATCTAAATTCTGTGAAGTCAGAAAAACCACTGTAACTGACTAGAGGAGGGCTAGAAAGGTCACAACCATAAACCCTTTATTTTCAATACCTCAATAAGAATAAATTTTTAATTCATCCCCAGTGGCTCATAAATTATTTAATCATTTGGTGGGGATCTTCAAGTAACTGCTATATTATATTTTATATATATGTATATATATATTGAAAATAACTGTTATATTAATAGATAATCCAAATATGGAACTAAAAAAATTACACAATATCCAAAGTTTTAAGGCATAAATAATTTCTTTTCTGTTTATGAATTTCTTTTAATGACCATATATAACAATTTTAACAATCTTACATATAAATAAGATGCATTTTTTTATGCACAAGATTAAAAAATTTCTTTCTTTCTTTCAATTATAACAATCTACCGTTTATTTTTTCCAGATATTGATGAGTGTGCTGTTGAAAATTATAACTGTTCCCATATCTGTGTAAATACAGTTGGAGGTGCATATTGTGCTTGTAAGACTGGTTACAGATTGCAAAAAGATAAGAAAACATGTACAGGTAAAATAAAACATTTTCTACATCAAATTAAAGTTTCTGATTTATTTCATAACACCAATGTAATAAAAACAAAGAGCAGGAGAAAATGCATTTTAGAAACAAACTAAAATAGGGTTTACAATGCTGATGGTTACATGCAAAAATATTATCAGACGTTATAAAAAACATGCACACCGTGCCCGCCCATCTGGACAGTGGTGAGAAGGATGGAAGTGTCTAGAGATCCCGTTCAGGGCTGTTTGATTTACGACTTCAATGTGGGCTTATCAGCAGCTGCATCAAGTCACCTCATATGTCAAGCATTTGGGGATAGTGCTGTGGATGAAGGCGTTGGTTTCAAAAATTCAAGTCAGGAGATTTGTCTCTCCATGATGAGCCTCGCAGTGGATGACCACAGGTCTAAAATGACGGAGTTCTGAAGGCGGCCATTGAAGAGGACAGTAGTCTAACATGTGGTGAACTTGCAAGACAGTTTAGTGTTTCTGATGAAATAGACTTCACCTGCACCGCCTAGGTAAGACGTACAAACTGAGCAAGTGGGTTCTGCAAACGCTGTTGGAGGTCCACAAGGGACAACAAGTGGCAGCCTGCATATCACTGCTTTCTTGCCACCATACCGCATCCTTATTCAATCGAGTGCTTACCAGTGATGAAAAGTGGGTTCTGTATGAAACTCCCAAGCATTCCAGACATTGGTTGTCTCCTCAGGATGCTGTCCCTCAGATAATAAGACCGCCTATGCACCTTGCAAGATTATGCTTTGTGTCTGGTGGACAGGTCATCAAGTGGTTCATTGTGAACTGCTACCAATGGGCCAAACGTTCACTGGAGACCTATACTCGCAGCAATTGAAACGTGTGCAACAGGCATTGCACCAGGAGGAGCCAGCACTGGTGAATCACAAAGGTGTGCTTTTCCTCCATGACAACGCCAGGCCACATGTCGCGCGAGTGGTCAGGGATACCATACAGCAACTTGGGTGGAAGACTTTGTGCCATCCACCTTATTCACCTGACCTTGTGCCATCTGATTACCACCTCTTCTACTCCCTAGATAATCATCTTCATGGGAAATCCTTCAGATGAAGCAGACTTGTGCAAAGCCCTTACGGACTTCTTTGCATCAAAACCCCTCTGAGTTCTACCTCAAGGGCATTGAACAGCTGGAGACACGTTGGCAGAATGTGCTGGATGCCAATGGTGATTACTTCGAAGACTAAATATAAGTTACACATACTGTGAAGCGTTTTCTTTTTTTCCTTTAAAAACTGGCAGAACTTTTTTGGCTACCTTGTAAAATATCACAAATTTATATGATATTTTTGTAAGATATACTGGTAGCTATGTTTCAAGTAATGTTTTAATATAATGTGTAGGTTTAAAAATATGTTTATAGAAGTTACTTTATATGAAAACAAATGTCTGTCTAGAGAGTTAACATTTACAACAATAGTTTATGAAAAAACAAACTTTAGGAACTATATCAAATAAAGTAGATATCTCATAATTGCTTGTGAAATAATGAAATTTACAAGCACTATTTGTTATTTCATGTCAGGTTACTGTTATTAAACTGAATTTAATTGGACAAATTAACTTGGTAGAATAAAATAGTTTTCCTGTAATCTGAAACATATATTTTAGATTAATCTGTATTATTTCCTAAAACAACACTAAATTCTGAATTTTATATACACTTGTTAAAAATGTATATGTTCATTATTTTTCAAGAAAGAGAAGATGGAATACATGCTAACGATATCTTTTACAATTCATAGATCATACAAAGATTTCACAAGGTGATCATGCTGAAATTCAAATGTTATATCTGAAATAAAGTATTCTAATAAATGTTCATTGTAAATGCAGCTATAATCTAATGCAAACTGTCTATCCATTTGTTTATCCATGAATGAGCAGCTGTAAAATGTTCTACTGACATGAAACAGATTCAATGTAGAGAAATAGCAATCATGACAATAATAGAATTATCTGATATAGACTGCAATTGTTTTGCAAAACATAAATCATGACAAAGTATAAGTAAAATGAGTTGAATCACTACAGGCAATCTAAAGGACAAATATGAAGAAATATACAAATAAATTGTTGTAAATTGATTAGCATATTGTGTTGCAGGATATTACTTAAAAGATCATCTATGTCTTTCATTTTCCCAGATTTTAATGAATGTGAAAAAATGAGAAATATATGTGATGATATATGTATCAATACAATTGGATCCTATAAATGTTTGTGTAACAAAACCGGTTTTGCTCTACACCACAATAGAAGAACATGTGCTGGTAAGTACATATTTTAAATTTATTTGCTTGCAGTTAAATATATGCAACACTACAAAGAAGATAAAGCAAAGTATATGTTTCTTGGAGATTTAGAAAAATAAATTCCAAAGAAAAACTAGTCTTGGATTCTATAGAAGGATACATGATAAATTAGTTTGGAATTCTACAGAATCTAAAATAAAATCATACCAAGGAAAAATTGCTGATATTTTTATAATTCAAGTAAGCAGACAAGAACAAGAAAGTAGGTTTCAGAAGTTTATTTAAATTACTCATTATTTATAAAATGAAAACCAACATATATATCAATACCTAATTCATATTTTGTGTATTAACACCTAAATAGATAACTGATTTGTATGTTTTATATGACAAAAATACTAAAGCCACATTAGTTGATATAAAGAGAAACAATAAAGTAATGCAGTTTTCAATTATAAACAATTTTACTCATTCATTGAAAATATTATGAAATCTTAACCAAAAGATATTTTTAAAACATTTTATTTATAACTTTCATATTAGCTTTTACTAAAAACTGAAATTTATACAGTTGAAGTAACATCCTTCATTATTTTATACTGATAAATGTATTTTGTTTCTATTTTAAGAGTTTAATCCAAAGATGATAGAAAAATTGGGAAAATAAAATTATGTCTAGAGAAGTTTATATATTTAAAGTTTATTTTCCCACTACTCAGAATTTTTGTCTACATTCAATCAAGCCCTTGCATCCTACTATATTGAAAAAAATCAGTCATAATTTTATTTTAATCATTTCACCCCAAACAAGGCAGGAATTCCACTAGTATGCAGGGGGTTAAAGTGAAAAAGAAGACTGAGTATAGGAAGAATTAAGGAAAAGACAAAAAGATGAACACGATTGATGTTGCATTTAAACTGTTAAAGATTTTAGTTATCAGGGAAGTAAGTAAATGGAAGGAAGTTCTACAGGCAGAAAGTGCAAGAAAAGAAACTTTAAAACCATAACATATCACATGTAATAGACAAAACTATCATTTCTTATATAATGAAACTAGTTTTCTAGTTATGTAAGCAAACTAATAATTTTTTTAGGATTAGCTTAATTTCAATTTTATGCAGGATCAGTGAAAATACTCTGGTTCTTTAGAAAACAAGATATTGACAAATGAAAAAAATATTATTCTTGTAATCATCATTTCAACAATATGAAATATAAATAAAATAAGTTCTATTTACCTTCAATATTTCTAAGGATATTTTTATTGTAATGTAAAAACATTTTACATTTATTGCATTTTCCCTCTTCTTCCTAAAGATCATTAATCATTGTGTATAATAGAGTCAAGGAGATTGAAAGTTTGAGGTGAACATAAAAATTGAAAGATTTCTGTTTTTAAACATTTTTCTGAAAATGAAGTTTTTTGTATATCCAAATATCTTGATCATATTTTTATGAATGTAATTATTCACCAACGTAAGATTTAAATCTTTTTTAATAAAAAGAAGTATTCTTCTGACAATCATCACACAATCTAAAAATAAAAATTACTTGTAGGAATTGTGTTTGTCCTGAAAATATATACTATTATCTGTCAAACAAATGTTTATTTGTAGAAAACAAAAAAAGTCTGATTGATCTAGTTCTTAAAATGGACGAAAACAGTAGACAATTGATATCCATTTCTCTTGTCTATTAATACATATCCAACTTGCTTCTTTTGCTTCAATGCCATCATTTGACAAACATCTGTGGAAACAACTCCCTTGTCTATTATAAATTGGTTGATTAGGCTAGCAGTTGGCTGGACATTGGTCTTCATATGTAAAAGTCTGTGTCAATGACAACCATTTAAAGAAAAGCCAGTAAAAGAATAACAATTAGAATAAAAAAATAAATTCTAACCAATATAAGCATGACTTATCCTGCTAGTTCTTTTCTCAGGGACTCTTGAAATCAACTTTCCAAAAGGAATTAATTTCTACAGAGTTAAAACAAATATCAACTGTTACACTTGAATGCTCCTAATGTGTTCATTAAAATCTCTCCAAACTCTACACCTGTTACCTTGCTTCCTGCTTTTCAGATTGCTAAATGTCTGCTGCTGATGCGCTTACAGCCATCACTGAATATATATCAAGCTCTTGACAATAATGGTGAAGCTCAAGCTGTGGCTCTAGATATCTCAAAGGCGTTTGACAATGTTTGGCATCCTGGTCTTTTACGTAAGCTTTAGGGATACAGTATTACAGGACAATTGTTTCATTTAATCCAATCATTCCTATCAAATCATGAAATGAAGGTTGTTCTGAACAGGCTCACTTCCAGATCTTTTCACAAAAATGCAGGTGTCCCCCAAGGCTCTATACTGGGTCCTACACTGTTTCTGATCTTCATCAATGATCTTCCTGATGTCATCAGTTCCCAAGTAGGCATTTATGCAGATGACACTACCATTTACTCCTGTCTCTATAACAAATCCATTAGATCTGACAAAATTAACCTAGCTGCTGCTCTTGAAAAGTGGTTAACTAGGGCAGCAAATGGCTTGTAAATTTGAATGCCTCCAAAACTAAACTGCTCTCATTTAACTACCATAGAGAAACTTCCCTGCTCACCATCAGGATGCTCAACTCCAAAAGAGTATCTCACTATGCTTTCTTGGTCTCACATTTTTAACTGACTTCAAATGGAACAACTACATTGAATTAATAGCTGCATCTACTGCAAGAAAGTTGGTCCATTGTGTTGTACCAGGTTTTTCTCGTCAGAGTCCATCTTGCACATTTACAAATCTACCATTCATCCGTGCATTGAACACTGTTGCCATATCTGGCCTGGTTCTCTTGCTGTTCATCTCAAAGTTCTTGACAAAATTCAAAAAAGGATCTGCAATGTAATCAATCCTGATTTTGGCATCAAGACTTCAGTCACTTTCTCACAGACATGATGTGGCTTCCCTCTGTCTTTTCTACAAATATTTTCATTTCCCTGGTGCCCCAACTACATGAATTTAAGCATGTTACTAGATTGGCATCTAGGTCCCACCCTTTTATTGTTGAAATAGCTAAATGTAACCACTACTTATACTCTAAGAGTTTCTTTGATCACACTTCCCAACAGTGGAACTCCCTTCTGCTTACTTGCTTCCCTTATAACTACAATCTTCAAAAGTTTAAATGCAACATCAATTGCCATCTTCTGTTGTCTTGAACCCTGTTCATCTTTTATCCTTCCTTTCTTCAATCCCCCCCTATACCCAGTCTCTTCTCACACTTTCACTCTCTGTAATTTGCTATGTACTAGTGGCACTCCCACCTTGCTTGAGGTGAAATGATTAAAAATAAATAAATAAATCCAGGTAATATTGTATTTATTCTGATAAAGTGAGAGAGAATAGCAAAACAAAGCTTTCTAAACCAGCACTAGTTTATACAGTTACCATTTCTACTTTTCATGCAGATGATTTTATATCAATTCTTGATACCAATTTACCCTGGCTTCATGCATATTTGAAGAGAGATAACTATGAATATTTTTCATCAGCAGCATAGAAGAAAGAAAGCTAAACTATTTTATCTGAATTCAGCCCTTTTGTAAATTCCCAAGTGTCAAGAGATAAAACCTGTTCCTTCATTTCCTATCAATAATTGCTGTTTACTTCATACCAGCCATCAGGTCTCTACAGATTACTTTGTTACAAAGCAGTCATTAACTCTTAAAACTATACAGTTTATCAACTGATGAGAAGTTTGAATTCAGAAGCTCATAGCTTAAATCTTTTTAAACAAACCAAAAGGAAGAATTTGAAACCTGAAATGATTTTTTTAAAGTGCTATTCTTTAAATGCATTAAATAATTTTTAATCAAACATGCTGATCTCTTAAGTAGAAAGTACCACTGAAAAATTTCCTTTTGTTCCTTCTTGATTTATTAGATAATCATTTTAATAGATGTTAAAAAGAAAAAAATCTAAATGTCAAAATAATAAAAGTATTATAATTGACTAACTTGAATTAAATATATCAAATAATAATCTTACCCTAAACTAAGCACTTTTCTTTTTCCCCAAATTTATAAAATGTTGTCCAATATCAAGCATGATCTTTCAACTAATGTACCAAATATATAGAATGGATTTGACAGGATACAATCAAATATAGATTTCTTTCCCCTATTAATAATTGATGTTACTTTTGACACTACTCATAAACAGACTCACTTCAGATAGCAAAAATATTTCTCTTCAGTAACAAAGACCAAATATTTCTTGAAAATAATTATTCTATTTTTAGCAATTCGATTCTGAGTATTACCTTACTCTCTTATATATTCCCCCTTTAATATTATTGCTGATAGTGTTAACTTATTAGCTATCCAAGTGCAGTTGTTAGTTTTTGCTATTTTTAATGCATATTCTTGATAATTACTAGTTCATAATCAAAATGAAATGTAACTGTTGTCACTATTTTAGGTATTCTTAGGCATTTTATCATTCTAAGTCAATTTTAGATAACAAAGCTAAAATTAAAGTACATTTATACAGACATGCAAACTTTTAGACTTTGAATTTAGAATGATCAATGCACTAAATTGATTTTTAATTATTTTTAATAGAAACAGCCTTGGAATTGCATTAAAGTTATAAACAAATGTAAAATAATCAATAATGATCTCTTATAAAAATGCTACAAAAAAAAAAAAAAAAAGAAAAAAAGCTTTACTACAATCTTTTGCAATTTAACCTTTTTCTATTTTCTTTATTATTCAGATATAAATGAATGTAACCAGAATAAAACATTATGCCACCAAGTGTGTAAAAATACCCGAGGATCTTACCGCTGCTTATGTCATTCTGGATTTGTAATGGGTGAAGATGGATATACATGTGAAGGTACAAATTATTATTACTATTTACAAAAGAACATAATATTTGGCAAACAAATGATAGATATTAATTCTTTTCCTGAGATAAATTATTTCAATGCTTTATTTTGCCTTAAACTTTTGAATTTTATAAATACTAAAAAAAGAAACTAAAATTAAGATAGAATTTACATATTAGTTTTTAGTTATAAAGTTATACAAAATTTATGTTATATATAATTTTCATTTGAGATCAAATATTTTTTCTATAAAACATTTAATATACATTTGTTTATGTATTTCTGTGCTGTTTCTGTAGAACATTTGAAGTAATTTTACTTTCATGATTTATTCAAATTTTGTAATTCCTATACAATAAATTTTGGAAGTACTAAGTAAATTTAAAATAAGAATTTTACCAAATGAAAAAAATCATACCTGCAAGTTTGAACATAAATCCAAATACGCAATTTAATGATTTTATAATTATTTTTCTCTAAGGATTTATTACAACCAGTTAAAATTGTTATTGCACAAAATGTTTTCTTTTTCTCAAAAAATAAAAATATTATAATTATTGTAGGTTTTTTGCAAGGCTTTTACTTCAAGAAATTTGAGGATTTCACACATATAAAATACAATTCTGTAGAGTAATTGGCAGATATGTTCAATAAACAGAATTGACAAAGTTTGCAGTAAACAATAATAAGAGAAAGAAAAGAGGGAAAAATAATATAAAGCAAGTAAACATTATATGCAAGGCAAAGTAAGGTAAAAAATGTTCACAAGCTTAGAATGGTGTGAACACAGAAAAGTGATACAGACTAGTGATCACAGCATTCTGACAAGAAAGAACAGAAATATAGCAGATGAGACTGAGAAGTGGTCTATTTCATTGGTCAGGAAGAAATCCCAGCATGCATCTGTATGTTCTGTCTATAAATTTGGAGAAGAGGAGATGTTTTTGCAGTCATTCCCAGCATGGATTGGAACCAACAAAATCAATAATTAAGAATGAATGTTAGAAACAATACCAAAACATATCCAAACACTGACACAAAATGAACTATGAAACAGACAAATACAAAAGGTCATTATTCAGGTGATATGGAGAAGCATGAACTGAAAACCTTTATTAGTAATATTTCTTACCAAAATATTTTTTTCAGAAATTGATATATATTAGAGTATATATTGTACAAAAAGACAACACAAAAATAAAAAAAATGCTTAAATAAAACATGTTGCAGTAGAGGTTTCCTGATAATTAACAAGAGAACATTTCTGAACTTGAATGAATGGTAAGTTAAGCTAAAAATTTGCAATATGAATTACTTGGTAATTCAGTCACTTCAACTTGTAGTTAAAATAATACTGTAAAAATATTTAACGATGGTAGCAATGATGATATTAATCTAGAAATGAAAAATACATCATTAAAATTGGTGTTAATGTAATGTTACTGATATTTCAGATAGATATAAAAGAGAAGTAATGTAATGATAAAAGTTTCAAGAAAAATTTTTGGATATGCATTTTTCTCTAGAATAGGATTAATTAAGAATGATAAAATATTAAATTTTGAATATCAATAATTTGGGCTTATATATTAATCTATATATATGGTATTCATCAGTCTTGAAAGACCATGGATCTTGTCATATAGGAAGAAAATGAGTAATTACTGACAGCGAGGTTCGGGCGTGACACTCTGAACTTATAAATATGTTTTCCACCAGGTGTATAAATAATGGTGTTAGCCTACTGACAGGGGTGATTATTGAGTGACTATTGAGTGGAACTATCCAGTCGAATTAGTGTGAATTATTGTACATCGATGATTTGGGTTTTGATTTAGAATTTACCGAACATTGAGCTGTGCTACTAACAAGGTATTCATTGAAATGATTAATTATCTTTAGTTGACTTTTACTTCTTTGTTCTTGTTAAGTATTTATTTGTGGTGGTAATTAAAGACTGTTTCATCTTAACATTGAAGTCTTGAGTTATACTTAATTATTAACAGCTACAATACATCACAAAAGTGGCAACAAGGAATTTGTGTGAAACTCACACAAAAAGGAAAAAAACATCTTAACAGGATATTTAGTGAATATTTACCACTTCAGAAAAGTGACAACACGCGGAACTACGAATTTCGCAGAGCTACAAATAAATAACCTGTTGAGGATATTCAAAAATCAATTCAGCAGACTACAGAAAAATGGAAGAATTAAAGCCTGTCATGATTCAAAATATTGAAACAACAACAACAGGAAGTTCTGGAATTATTATATAGAACTTCACTGGAAAGAATGTCAAATTTATTCACTCTAGAGGCTGTCACCAATTTAATTAGTGAATTTTTATACAATACAGAAGGAGGAATAACATTTCTAGCATATTATAGAAGCTATGAAGAAAGCTTCAAAAAGGATTGTCTGCACTGAGATGATGGGGGAAAAAAGTTTGCTTATTATTAAGAAAACTGTCTTCTGTGGAACATGAAAACCATGAGAGATAAATTTTGATGAAATTGTATTAATTCTGTCGGAAATTTTCAGTGATAGATGCTCACTATTTAACACACATTAGCAATGTCTTAACTTAGTAAAGGATGAGAATGAAGATGTTGTTACTTATGTTGGAATAGTGAACTGTGAATGTGAGAAATTTAAATTGAATGAATTAACACCAGATTTATTCAAATGCTTAATATTTGTACATGGCTTAACTGCTAATAATGATGCTGAAATAAGAGCTAAGATATTGTCTAAATTAGAGATAGATTCAAAATTGACTTTCCAGAAAATAGCCGAAGAGTGTCAACACATGGTTAATCTGAAACTTGATACTGCAAGGATTCAAGAAAGAGACATTTCACACATACGCAATGTCCAACCATTTATGAAAAAAAGAGTATCGATCTTCTGCAACACCTAAGAGAGCATTAAAAAAATACACCTTTGTCAATACCCAATGCTTGCTATGGTTGTGGTGGTAAACATTTTAAAAGTGATTGTTTTTTTCAGGAACAAAAAATGCTATGAATGTGGGAAGATTGGACACAGATTTACTCATTGTAAATACAAAAAGTGGGAAAAAAATAGAACGCATCTGGACGTGGTTAATAATTTGTGTAAAGTAAAAAAACTTAAAGGAACAACTACAAAGAAAAATTTGTTAAATGTGTCTTTAACTGAACTAGAAACATCTCAAAAGAGGAAATCTGTTTTTGTTAAAATTATTAATGTAAAAATAAAACTACAACTGGATACAGGGTTTGATATCACCATTATCAATGAACAGACAAGGAGAAAAATGGGTAAAGCCAGTTTAGCAACTTCAGTAAAAATTGTTTGTGAAGTTACAGGGAAGAAATTGGACTTTATGGGTGAGTTCATCTGCAATGCTTTTTTTTTGTTGTTGGAAAAACTAAAAGACCAGTTGTATTTGTGGTAAAGAATACAGCTAATTTATTTCAAACAGATTGGATTGCATTATTTGATCTGTGGGACCTTCCAATTAATTCATTCTGCAACAAAATAAAATGTTGTTACCTCTGGTGCTAATATGGCAGCCAAAAAATTAAAGAAAGAATTAAAAAAATATTTCCCAGAAGTCTTCTCAGAAGGTCTACGTAGATGCACTAAAACAAAAGGTAAATTTGAAGTAAAAAAAAAAAAAAAAAAAAAATTTAACACCAATTTTCAAACCAAAAACAAGTGTACCTTTTATGGCATTAGAACCTATTAATAAGGAAAAACTGGAAAAATTAGGAGTTATATCAAAAGTAGACTATTCTGAAAGGGTGTCACAAACAGTTTACATGACGAAAAAAAAAATAATAAAATCCATATATGTGCTGATTTTTTAACAGGATTAAATGAAAGTTTGAAAGAATGTAAATATCTGTTACCAAGTCTGGAGGAAATTTCTGCCAAATTAAATGGTGGTAAATTTTTTCTAAATTGGATCTTTCGGATACTTACTTACAAGTAGATGAAGCATGTTCTAAACTTTTAACAATTAACACTCATAAAGGACTGTACAAATTTAACTGACTTTCCTTTCAGTATAAAGCATATTCCAACAGATTATGGATGCTTGCTGATTTGGATTGTGCAAAGCATATTTGGATGATGTATTTATAAAAAGTGAAACCTGAAACCAGCATATGGAAGATGTGAAAACAGTTTTGAAAGAATTAAAGACTACAGTTTTAACATCAGTGAAGAAAAATGTGAACTATTTATGAATAGAGTGAAATACTTAGGACAAATTATCGGCATGAACGGAAGATGACCAGATCCTTCAAGGGCAAGCGCAATAAGGGACATGCCTGCTCCAATAAATGTATCAGTTACAAGCATTTTTAGGGTTAGCTAATTACTATCTTGTGTACATACAAAACATGAATAAATTAACAGCACCCTTGAATAACTTGCTAAAGAAAGATATTAAATGGGATTGGTCAGATAAATGTCAAAGTGCTTTCAAAAAGATCAAAAAAGTCCTAATGTCAGATTTGTCGCTAGCTCATTTCGACCCTAAATTAGAGATTGTGGTTGCAGCAGATGCAAGTGAGTTGGGTATTGGAGCAGTGATACTACACAAATATGAGGACTGAACAACTAAACCAATATTTCATGCTATCGTTAATAACAGCTGAAAAAAACTACAGCCACGTTGAAAAGGAAGCATTGGCTATCATATTTGCTAAAAAAAAGTTTCACAAGTTTATTCATGATAGACAATTCACACTACAAACAGATCATCACATTAAATCATTAGCAATAGAACACATTACAATGCCTCCTTATCAGAAGTAACAGACAAGCTGAACATTTTGATGATACTTTTAAAAGGGCATGATAAAAAAAAATGATTGGAAAAATGACGTACATGGTACAGGGACAAAGGTGGGAACATATGTGACACCCTTATCAGTTAGAACGGAGATTCACTGATTTAGTAAGTCTACGAAAAGAGGTACCTATGGAAATATTGTAAAATATTGTATGACATGTTTGATGTACCCACACCACCAGAAATTAGTGAACCAAGGAGGTACAGTAAAAGAAAAAGAACTGCAACAGAACATTTGAATATTGAACCCAAACTGAAGAGATATAGACTCCAGAGATGCCATCTCCAAAAGGGGAGGTGTCATATAGGAAGAAAATGAGTAACTATCAAAACCAAGGTTTGAGTATAATACTCTGAACATATGAATATGTTTTTCACCAGGTGTATAAATAACAGTGTCAGCCTACTGACTGTGGTGATTATTTAGTGACTATTGAGTGTAACTATCCAATCAAATTAGTGTGACTTATTGTGCATCAATGATTTGGGTTTTGATTTAGGATTTACCGGACGTTAAGCCGAGCTCCGCTACTAACAAGGTATTCACTGAAATGGTTAATTATCTTTGGTTGACTTTTACTTCTTTGTTCTTGTTAAGTATTTATTTGCAGTTGTAATTAAATAGTGTTTTATCTTAACATTGAAGTCTTGAGTTATACTTAATTACTAATGACCACTGTACATCACAAAACATCTGAACTATAAAAGTTATGCCTCTGTTGCTGATGGTAATATTAAAATATATAGAAATCTATACTTTTATTATAAATCTACTGAAGCTGAAAATTGAAACAGAAACAAAAAGATCAGAAATGTTCTCAATACTACCTTTCATACAATGTTAGGAAAATTTTAAACATCTCTGAAGATTTGTCAGCTCTTTTCTGATTATACAACTAATTAACTTCACTACATTGTTTACAAGACTTAAGAAAAATACAGAAATAAGGAAAATTTGCTCCACATGAATTTACAGAAAGGAATTTCAGTACACCTTTCACCTTTCTGTACTTTATTCAACAACAAAAAATTATTTTGCAACAAGATAGTCACTGAAAATGAATTTGCTTAGCTCCTTGTAACACTTATTGTTTAGTCAATGATTCTAACAATTTCAAAATAACATAGGAATCATGTTTTAAGATATAATGCACAAAACAGAAAGCTAGGAAAAAAAACTTTGATGACTGAATAAGGATTCCATGAATTTATATGAATAAAGATTTTTAAAAAAATGTTGGAAATTTTTGCATTAAAATAAAGCGTAGAGATTAATTAAAGTCTCAAGTGGTTTCTCAATCCTTGGTCCCAATTGAAACTTTCATATATTTAAGTATTGAATTTGAGCTAATGTGAAAAATGCTTCCTTATTTGAAAGTTATTAGAAACAAACAACCCTAAAAAAAAATCATGAGTAAACACAGACATCATTTTTACAATTTTTAATTCTTCATTCATTTTCTTCCCTTTATTTGTATAAAAAAAGAACTATTATCGTAGATTACGAATTTTAATTCTATTTAGTTTAATAACAATATTTCATGTCAAGTTTTTGTTCTCATTTATTTGTATTTTTTCTTTTTTTTTTTAAAGATTTTGATGATTGTGCCTCCGAGGGCACACATGGATGTTCAAGCATCTGTGTTAATATTCCTGGTTCATACATGTGTGACTGCCCACTTGGTTATCAACTTATCTGGGGTAAAGACTGTCACAGTAAGTTGCTATATTGCATTTCTTTATTATGAGCAAAACACAAAAATTAACACTGAATTTTATCCAATTTCATTGCAGAAATTCTGGCAAACTTCCAACTCTCACAAGTTTCAGAGAACTGTTTAAAAAACATTTATTATTGATTTTGAAATTAGCATAGCTATCTGATTGAATATCGATTAACTTTTTATGGGAATTTACCCAAACCATCACAATTTCACAAGCATTCTTGATTAATCTAAAATCAAAAATGTTAAATACACTACTGGCTTATTATGATGGCTTAAGAATAGTCAATACACCCTCAAGGAATGAGAACCAGACAGAAACTAGGTATTAATGTTTAGTATGTACTAAACAATAAAGTCTAGTTAAATCAAGAACTTTATCAGTACCCCACACACAATAATAATAATAAATTAAGTATGTTTTTAAAATTGTCTCTATGTTGCTTTCTTTTATGTTATATGTGAATATATATATATACTAAGAGAGGAAAAATTGATCTCTTTCTTTTGAACAAGAATTCTCTACAACAGTAAAGCAACAAAAAATAGTTTAGAAATACTTAGAAAGATAATATCTAAAAGGTAAATAAGGAATACTACAAATTCACAAAGGAATTAGATACTTTGCAGGTGATGTAAAATTTAAAAAGAATTATTAATGAGTAACCTGTAAGTGAACAAGTAAAACTGCTCTGCAAACAGACACAGATACATGCACATAAACACGAGGTGTGACAATTTAATTCCCAGAATGAATGCACTATGTTGCTGGGGTAACGTCAGGCAAACGTTTGTACTTGTGCACATCTGGGCATGTTCCAACTTCTGCTTTCTTGAGATGTAAACAAAATAAGTCATTTGTTACCAAGCATTAGAGAAAGTTGTATGCATTCATATTGGTTTAAGATGAGTGAAAAGAATTCTGAACCACAGATTAACATCAAGTTTTGTGTGAAGATTGGCAAAATGCTATTAAAACATTAACTCTATTAAAAATGGCTTATGTTAAACATGCTAAGAATAAATTTTTAAGTGGTAGAATCAGTTCAAGGAAGGGCAAAAAGATTGATGCAAGAAGTAGACAGCAACCTATGCAAAAAAAAGATGCAAATGTTTATTTCGAAAAGTTCAAAAGATTACAAGGGTCTGTTCCAAGGAAAAGGTCCAAACTTTAGCCTAACAAGTTGATCCTCTACTATGACAATGGTCTTATGCATGATGTGTTAGGAAATGGTGACTTCCTGACTAAAAAATCAATTTAAAAAACAGGTCATCTACCACTGATTTTTTGCTATTTGCAAAATCAAAATAATACCATGAAATAACAAGATTTTCTGATACCTCTGACATTCAGCAACATGTAACTACATAACTGAACAGTATTTCAGAAAATAAGTTCTGAGAATGTTTTTAGCAATGACACTATCATCTCACAAAGTACATAGCTTCACAAGAGGAGTACTTAGAAGGTGACAGTAGCCATTAATAACCAGGTAAGTGAACTATTTCAGGAATTAAATTGCAACACCTCAAAATATATAAACTGAAATTGTAACAAACAATTAATCTAAAGTATCATAGATATAAATTGAAATTTAAAGAACAATTCAGAACTCAGTTGAATTGTAAAGAAAAGCTTTTATTTACATTAAAGAGAATTGGATAAATAAAAAAATGTTATGTGCATACATAGATAAAATATACATTCATGTTTTCATAGATACATTTATATACAATTAAGACAAGGTTGAAGTATATTATAAGTAATAACTAGAATATTCTTATTATTATAGATATATATTCTAAGTAATTTCCCTAGAACCCATTCTACTTTGAATGAAAAGACTTGCATAATTAACTGAAGAGCAAGATGAAATCTAAATTATACAATCAACCTTCAAGAATGAGAAAAAGTAGAAATATCATCATCTTACCAATGGTTCTTAGCCGCACCCTAGTTTATGCTCTCTTAAGTGAAAAGTTCTGAAAATTTCAAGGATTGTACTTGATATTCAGATAGTCAATATAAATGGATAGATTGAAAAAATGATCTGCTATAAAGTATAGGAGAGAAAAGATAAAAAAATATGTGATAAGACATTAAAGCTTTCAGACTAAAGATATAAAGTTGTTTTCTCTATCATATTTTTGCCTCATTCAAGCAGAACTTCACAAAGTTAGATAAACCTTATTTGACATCTAGTAATCACTTGTCACATCAGGAAGATTAGTCTGCCACTCTTTTATTACAAAAGCTTTTGTAATCAATAAATGCAGCTGTGCTAATGTACAATCAACAATAAAAATGCAACAGTTAGACAAAAAATATTTTTGACATTTAAAACTCAAAGTATCAAGAACTTTTGCAGAGGATGAACTCATGCGATATCCTTTTCTTCTGATATGTTTCTGTATATTTGCTTCAGTTATCTCTTGAAAAGAAATTTTAAGATATATATCTTGAAAAAAAATTTTAAGATACATATTACATCTTCAAAATGTTTGAAAGATATTTAAAATCTGTAAGCATAATAGTTAGATATAAAAAAAGTATTTAAAGAATGTTGTTGCATTTAAAAGAAAACCTCCAACAGATTTCCTAGAAATAGTCTCATAGTATGTAAAGCAAGAGAATGTAGTTTTCCTTTTTTAGATAACACTGATATGTATTATACACTTACTTGTTCTGTAAAGTTTTTTTTTTATTTTTAATTATATGACAGGTTCTAAAATCTAAATTTTTATAAAGAATATATCAACTGAATGTTATTTTAACATTCAATTGAATTTTTAAATATTAATAATAATCAATCTTCTCAAATTTCAATCCAAAGGATTGTTTTATTAAAACAAATTTTTTAAAAGTTGTTTAAGCAATCATTTAACAATATTTAATAAATTATATTCTAAAGCAAGTAATAGAGCATTCCTCAAAAATTGGAACTATTTGTTGTTGTACAAAAGTTTCTTATGGTTAATATTATTTTATATTGCAGAATGCAGCCATGATTATTATCGCGGTAAAAATGACACACGGTGCAAGAAATGTCCATCATCTTCAAATACTATCAATGATGCAAGTGTATCCATAGATGACTGTATTTGTGCACCAGGTTATATCAGAGATAAGACTGGAAAGAACCATTGCACAAGTAAGTTTTCAATTTCAACTTACATATTTGCTGACTGGACTTTAAGCAAATATGATTTTTTCCCCCTTAAAAATTACAAAAATATGATAGACAATATTTATGTTGCAATAGACAAAATATAGCAATTCACCTCAAAATGAAAATAACATAGGCAAAAACTAATTTGTAGGAATGATCTCCATATAAAGCATAGGAATGAGTAAAAATAACAAAATGAAGCCACATTTGATGTCACTTTTTAAAAAAAATAACAAAGAACTTAAAATCATATACCCACCCAAGTAATATATATAAATATATAATAACATATAAAGTATAGAGTAATATATAGAGAGTAAGCTCAAATAAGAAAAAAACTAATTTATTCAATTTTATGTTGTTATTTTAAGTAATTACACTTTTAGTTACCCATTAATTTAAAAAGCCTTTTACAAATACAACTATGAATCCTAATGTTTAACAAATAGAAAATTTAATCCAATGTTTGTTTTTTCCTCTAGAAATAAAAAGAACAAACTTTATATTCTGTAAATTTATAATATCAAATTTATGTGTATTATCATACTAGAAAATAGTTTGTGTTCAGATATTGTTTAAAATAACAGATGACACTTATACAATTATTAACTAAGTAAATAAATGATGAATAAAAATGGATTTCAAGTGATTTTTCTACAATACCTGTGCATATATTATTATCATTTTGCTCTTTAATAAACTTTTGAAAAACCAAGTAGCAGACAACTTTCAGCCATAGCAATAGACTATTCTTTGCCAATAGGGAGAATCTTTTTATTTCCTTCACTCATATTAGTGTTGCATGGATTCTGTGGGTTATTTTCATTTTTGTAAATTCCTGTGACCAAACTAGACAGTCAAACAAATCTTTCATAATAATGCTTATAATTCATTTAGACTATCTGATTAAAGTAGTGGATGAGTCAACAGTGATTGATAGATTTTTTTTTTTTACAGCTTATCAACCCTTTGTGGGTTATTTAAAGTGGAAACATTTCATATTGTAGAAGGTTATAGTACCCTGTGTTCTCAAGTAATCCTCCAGTTAAGTACTGACCAAGTTTCAGCCATTAAACGAGAACCAGTGTTTTCATTATGATTTAAGTGTAGGCAGACAAGTAGACAAAGACTTATTTTGTTTATAAGCTTAAAAATTAATTGAAAATAAAGATAATAGTAAATTATATGAATTTATTGTCTAAGGTGAAACTGTCCACCAAAGTAATCTCTGATCTTGATATATTTTTTATAATAGTCCTTGTCAGTAAATGCAAATTGCAGTCCAATCATAGAAACAGATAATTTAAAAATGCTTTGAGATTGATTTTAATAACAAAAGATTAAAACTTCAAAAAGTAATCCATATTTGAACAACAAACATTCCACTCTAACAAGCTCTTACAAAGAACCATTAGACACTTCAACTTCATCAATGAAAAATATATTCATGTTTCTTTTTCTTTTCATTTAAAACTAAATATTAATGAACTTTTCCCATAAAATACTAAAGTATTGACTTGATATCTGCATATTCACATAAAATGGACTTAAAAAAAAGATAAACACTAAAGTGGGCTTTCATAGAATAAGACAAGCTTCCACAGATCCCAAGATAAAAATAATAGCAAAAGTTTCACACTTTAAAAAAAAAATGATCATATACATTAATGCAATTATTTCTAAAATTATTTTTTGCTATGAATTATGATCTTTACCTAGTGAGTTAATAAGTTTGCTTTTATTACTATTTTACTAAATCATACTAATATTTCAAAAGAACAATCTTTCAATAACAAAATGATTAGTTAAAACATACTTACCCAGATGTATCAATAAGAGGAAATGACATCAGTTTGAAAACTTACTTTTAAATTTTAAAAAGAAATATGTTAGAAAAGAACAAAAAATTCTAGTATCAAATATTCATAATTCAAATCATCTTATAAATAATTTTAATGTCAAATTATATATCTTCTATTGTATGTTAGTATTATTTGTTATATTCATTCTTAAGGTAACATCTTGATAACACAATCGCATATGTAGTTTTAATACTAGCCGACGAAATGAAAATAATTCGAATATTATTTAAACCTTAAAACTTACCAATATAGTCTATTCTTCTGTTTATACAAAATTGAACACTTGGTTTGTAATGAAATCCTTATTCACATTTTAGAAATTTCTGTAAGTTGCACTATGAAAATCTGGAAATAAAAAATAAAATTTTAATTTTTGTTCTGATTTAGATAAAAACTTAAAATGCACATATATTAAATCATTTTTAGCTATCACTAGTATTTGTTCAAAGATCCAATAAAATTAAAATACAGCAGATTATACCAAATTTTAGAAAATACTGGAAGAAAAAAATAACTTCTGCAATTGATTCTTTCAAGTTTTTCTATATTCAAAATGTTTCTGATAATTTTATACACTATTTCAGATTTTATGCAAGTAATGTTTTAACAACAGAATTGGTATTATTATTATTATTCTCTCATTTTACATGCTAATATGAACTCTTTGATATTCTATAACCTTCATCAGTTTTTCAGTTATTGATTTTCATAACTTTTCTAATGTTTCAAATATAACATTACTTGCAGCAAATTTCATGGCTTCCCAGATATCTTTTATACTTTAATATTGGGTTTCCAGTATCATTTATATCTTTTTTAATGATAGACTGCAAGTTTTCTGTTAATAACTGGAGAGTCTGAAGTCATAAAACCTGATGTCTTCAAAACATTTTTTGTTAAGGTGGGCAACAGTCAACTTTGCAAAATGTAAAGATACATCTTTTTGCATGAATAAACTTGTGAGCTTAAAATCTACAAACTACTCTGCTTAAAAAAAAATAGTGAAAGAACTTATAATTCTTTTTATTTATTTTGACACTATCATCAGCTCCTGAGTGACTTATAATTTCAGTGCCAACAATATTTTAGTGCTGAAAATATTATTCCAACTCCTCCATCTTGTCTACCCAACCTGTAGCATAGCCATCAGCTGTATCAGATTCAACCAATGTAGCTATATATTCATCACTAAAATTACAGAGAGAGCTTTTATGTACTTCTTCACTCAACTTAGCGTTTCTCTTGTGATGTTACTTAAAGTTGCTTTCATGCCTTCAGCTAATATTCTTAATATACTACATCTGTTTACATTTACAATATCAGATTTTTTAAATGCTAGTCAATTCACTTTTTCTTGCTTATAATTAAATTTTTTCTGTTACATAATTAAAGCCAGTTTTTTTTTTTTTGTTGTTCTTATCTTTCATATATTTTCATATTTTGATTGTTCAGAGTCAACTTTTTGGAAATTTCTAACATTATGATCTTTACAATATCTTGCTTTTATCTATATCTTTCTTATGATCCATGGCCATCTTTATATATCTGAAATTAAAAATAAATATTATATACATTTCTTTACAATTTTATAAAAAAAATCCATAAGTTGAATAATAAAATCTCACACTACTAAATAAGTTATGAGCTCAGAGTGAATCATAAAGATGATTTAAGCAAATATTTGAATGGTCCCTTCATATCTATTACTCTCTTCACCCACCTATTTGATTTGTTTGATGGTTTATTCAGACTAAATGAGCCAAATCAGATGTCACTAATTCAAACCAGAGATGGTAGTGAAAATGATTCTTTTCTTTAATTAGTTTGTTCCTTCATGTACACTTACTGCTTATTCAATCATTGAAATAATGTTTATTTATATACTTTAATTTCAACCACTTGCATCCAGTAGATTTAAAAACATGTTATAAAATCCTCAACTTTATTCAGAAACAGTCATTTGCAAGCTAAAATATAACCTCTATAATTGTATATATTGAATTATATATTAAATACTTTTGCAGGAGGAACAAAATTTCATTAAATTGATAAAAACGGAAATTTTAAAAAAGAAGAAAAAGTAACAAAAATAGAAAAAAAAGTTTTATTACCAAAGTTGTAATATTGAAATACAAAACAATTTATAAAAAAAGCAACTAAACTGGTTTATTGGTGCACTCTTACCAAAATTCAATTGAGGCCGAGAAATGCATACAGTGACTAAAATGAACACCAAAGATCAATTTTTATATAATAAACCAAATTTATGCATAAAAATCACTACAGAGAGATGGCTGATAGGACTTAATGTAAATAGATTCAAACACCATCAAATGAAATTCAGAAATAACCTTTGTCAATACTGAGAATATATATTGGTTATAAAACTGTTATGGATTAAATAAGACACTCCCGGTAACACAAATGAACTAGACAAGACACCTTAAATAAAGAACTCAAAGTGAGGCAATAGAAGTCCATTGGAATTAGTTGGAAAGAATTTTAATGACATCATGGCAAGTAGCCTAAGCAAGACATAATATTATAACCACCAGTAGCAAGTTATAACAGTGGCAATGAGAATTGAAACAAAGTAGGAAAAAATAGTTTTTTTTGCTTCGGCACACATGATAACAGTGACGAGTAATTAGAACCACATGGGTTAATTTTTTTCTTTTTGTGTGTGTGTAAAAAGAAAAAAAGAGAAGGAAAAAAAAAACCCAGATATTTTTTAAATATGGAAGAATTATTAGCCCAAGTGGTAAAAATAGAACAACAGCAACAGTTATTGGAATTCCAAAAATAAAATTTAATTGAAATAATATGGAAGAAAATAGAAAATTCCCCAAGTTCTTTCACCCCCAATGCCATTGCAAATGGCATATCTGAATTCACATATAATTCAGATGATGGCATTACCTTTCCTGCTTATTTTAGAAGATACATGAAAATTTTCAGAGAAGAATGCAACAACTGAGAAAATGAGAAAAAAAACAAGACATTTTTTGAGAAATTTATCACCAGTAGAACATGAAAAATACTGTAATTTTGTACTACTGAAAAAAAACCCCCAAAAAACAAGAGAAATTTGCTTTAAAGAAACATTAAATATTCTGACTA